AACCCCTTACATTTGTTAATTTCCATAAAAAGTCAAATTTTGCCCAATTTGGATAAAAATGCAAGGCTAACCCTTAACATTTGTTAATTTCTAGAAAAAGTCAAATTTTGCCCAATTTTGATAAAAATGCAAGGCTAACCCCTTACATTTGTTAATTTCCATAAAAAGTCACATTTTTCCCAATTTTGATGAAAATGCAAGGCTAACCCCTTACATTTGTTAATTTCTAGAAAAAGCAAAATTTTGCCCAATTTTGGGCAAGGCTAACCCCTTACATTTGTTAATTTTCATAAAAAGTCAAATTTTATCTAATTTTGATGAAAATCAAGGCTAACCCCTTACATTTGTGAATTTTTAGAAAAAGTCGAATTTTGCCCCATTTTGATAAAAATGCAAGGCTAACCCCTTACATTTGTTAATTTCCATAAAAAGTCAAATTTTACCCAATTTTGATAAAAATGCAAGGCTAACCCCTTACATTTGTTAATTTCTAGAAAAAGTCAAATTTTGCCCAATTTTGATGAAAATGCAAGGCTAACCCCTTACATTTGTTAATTTCCATAAAAAGTCACATTTTTCCCAATTTTGATGAAAATGCAAGGCTAACCCCTTACATTTGTTAATTTCTAGAAAAAGCAAAATTTTGCCCAATTTTGATAAAAATGCAAGGCTAACCCCTTACATTTGTTAATTTTCATAAAAAGTCGAATTTTATCTAATTTTGATGAAAATCAAGGCTAACCCCTTACATTTGTGAATTTTTAGAAAAAGTCAAATTTTGCCCCATTTTGATAAAAATGCAAGGCTAACCCCTTACATGCGTTAATTTCTAGAAAAGGTCAAATTTTGATAAAAATGCAAGGCTAACCCCTTACATTTATTTATTTCCATCGAAAGTCAAATTGTATCCAATTTAGATAAAAATGCAAGGCTAACCCCTTACATTTGTTAATTTCCATAAAAAGTCAAATTTTGCCCAATTTTGATAAAAATGCAAGGCTAACCCCTTACATTTGTTAATTTCCATAAAAAGTCAAACTTTTCCCAATTTTGATGAAAATGCAAGGCTAACCCCTAACATTCATTAATTTCCAGAAAAAAAGTCAAATTTTGCCCAATTTGGATAAAAATGCAAGGCTAACCCCTTACATTTGTTAATTTCTAGAAAAAGTCAAATTTTGCCCAATTTTGATAAAAATGCAAGGCTAACCCCTTACATTTGTTAATTTCTAGAAAAAGTAAAATTTTGCCCAATTTTGATAAAAATGCAAGGCTAACCCCTTACATTTGTTAATTTCCATAAAAAGTCAAATTTTGCCCAATTTTGATAAAAATGCAAGGCTAACCCCTTACATTTGTTAATTTCCATAAAAAGTCAATATTTTGCCCAATTTTGATGAAAATGCAAGGCTAACCCCTTACATTTGTTAATTTCCATAAAAAGTCAAATTTTTCCCAATTTTGATGAAAATGCAAGGCAAACCCCTTACATTCATTAATTTCCAGAAAAAAAAGTCAAATTTTGCCCAATTTTGATAAAAATGCAAGGCTAACCCCTTACATTTGTTAATTTCTAGAAAAAGTCAAATTTTGCCCAATTTTGATAAAAATGCAAGGCTAACCCCTTACATTTGTTAATTTCCATAAAAAGTCAAATTTTGCCCAATTTTAATAAAAATGCAAGGCTAACCCCTTACATTTGTTAATTTCCATAAAAAGTCACATTTTTCCCAATTTTGATAAAAATGCAAGGCTAACCCCTTACATTTGATAATCTCCCAAAACGTCAAGTTTTATCCAATTTTGATACAAATGCAAGGCTAACCCCTTACATTTGTTAATTTCTAGAAATAGTCACATTTTTTTGACTTTTTCCAAAAATTACAAAATGTAAGGGGTTACCCTTGCATTTATATCAAAATTGGGCAAAATTTGACTTTTGGGGAAATTAACAAATGTAACGGGTTAGCCTTGCATTTTTATCAAAATTGGGCAACATTCGACTTTTTCTAGAAAGAACAAAATGTAAGGGGTTAGCCTTGCATTTTTTATCAAAATTTGGAAAAATTTGACATTTCCTAGAAATGACAAAATGTAAGGGGTTAGCCTTGCATTTTTTATCAAAATTGGGCAAAATTTGACTGTTTCTACAAAATGGGAACAATTGGGCAACATGCGACTTTTTCTAGAAATTACAAAATGTAAGGGGTTAGCCTTGCATTTTTTTATCAAAATTGGGCAAAATTTGACATTTCCTAGAAATTACAAAATGGAAGGGGTTAACCCTGCAATTTTATCAAAATTGGGCAAAATTCGACATTTTCTAGAAATTACAAATTGTAAGGGGTTAGCCTAACATTTTTACTTAATTGGGGTCCAAAAATGACTTTTCTGAAAATGATACAAAAATACCTTTTGATTGAAAATAAGAACTCATTTTGGTTTACAGACATGAAGTTGACTGAAACTTACTCTTTTGGAAAACAAAATTTAAAAAACATCTTGCATTTTTAAAATTTCTTGACCCTACATTTTTGTCGCATGAGGGATTTTGCTAGCCAGTGGTACATGGCGCACGCCAGCGCGAAATTAGAATAATATCATGTCATGGGAAGGGCTCATTACAAGAGCAAAAGGAATGCAAGTAAAATTGATTGGTAAAAAGTCTTGAATTCACGTAAAATTTGTAATTATTATGGTTTCACTTTCACAGCAATTTAAACGGTAAAATCCATTGTAAATGATAATCCATGCAGTAGTTGATTTGAAGTAAACAGTAGCTGGTATAAGAATATGCAGTGCGCTGAAATGACAATGTTACAGTATACATGACTTTCACTAAATCTACAGATGCATTTAAAGGAAAGAAAGCATTTTGATAATAAACATGTTTACAAAAATACTTCAAATTGATAAATTCGCTCACATCTTCTGCACAATTAATTCTAACAGGTAAAGACAAAGTAAATGAGTTTCATATAAAAATTGAATGTGAAATCTCAAGACTTGCACAGTTTATGTAAGACAACTGCAATAAACTGAAATATGTACCAGGAGAAGCGTAACTGTACAGGGTGGTCCAACAAAAAAGTTTTACACTTTTTAGAGGCAGATTTCTTGGAATTGGGGAGACATGTTAAAATGGATTCAAGATATTCCTAAACTACAGTATCTTCGTGGTATATGGTGAAAACGGCGCTGAAAATAAAGCCTCAATTAAGAAATGGTGATGGTTAAAGAAAGATGGTCAAAAACCAGTTTGTCCACACGCAAGTCTATGAGATATGGTCAACACAATAGCACTGCATGCACAAAGCACTGCAATAAGTGTAATTAGGTCTACATGACTGCCATAGACGTGGACCAACTAGTTTTTGACCATTCTTCTGTAAACGGCTTCTATTTCTTAACTTGAGCTTTATTTTCAACGTCGTTTTCACCATATACAACTAAGATCTTGTAGTTTAGGAATATTTTAAAACAATTTCAACATGTCTCTTCAATTTTGAGAAATCTGCCCCTGAAAAAGTGTAAATTGTTACCACCCTGTACACATCCCAGGGCACTAATTGTCAACAGTAATTAGAGTAATTAGCAGCACTTGCATTACAACTGAGTAAATTTTGCATAAATCCTACTATTCAACGTCACATAGTAATGATAAGATTCTAATAATAAACAAGCTTCCATGGCAAGCAAAAATGAAAATAAACCAGAATCGGGTAATATGCAAGTAATGGATGTTTATGAATGCAATGGTAAGAATAATTTAATGAGGTGACAATGGAACAATCCATCCGTCACCGAATGAAATTATTCTTTCCATTGCACAAATGTGAAACATTCATTATTTGTTTTATACAACACCTGAATAAATCCTCGTCATCTGACTGGTCAGAGCCACCAATAGTCTGAACGTGCGATGGAACATCCATTAACCAGTTCGCGCCGGAGGCCGTGTATACACGCAAAGGTTTTGCTGTATTCGGAATGGATGAAGGATAAACACGCAGGGAGCGAGGCCGGAAATATCTGCCAGCGACTCGCTCGCAGCAAGCAAGGCTGGAAATATGAGTGTGCTGCCCGAGGGTGATGGCTTCAACCCGCCTGGCTTGAGGTCGACTGAAAAGTAATCCGTGACCTTGTTCCATTCTTGTCAAACTAATGGCGTGAACCAGTTCACCGTTGATTGGAACTTCTGTTTTTGTGGTGCGGCCAGGCCGTGGGTTGGGACAAATAATTCAATGACATGTGATCAACGACTGATCAATCAGATGACAGGGATTTATTCAGGCATTATATAAAGCAGAATATCGGAAATATACCTTGACAGCTTTTCAAATACAAAAATTCATACTATTTCATTGGAATAGGTTGAGGCAAACGACAGGGTTGACACATTCTAGTTTCAGGCCTGATATTTAAAATTATCTCTGTCGACCTCTTAAACTCGTTCTGTATAGCAAGGCCATACATTCAAGCACTAAAACGATTGTACAATGCAGGATATCATACAGATTCAGAATCCAGCAATCAACATCGAAGATTCACGTTTGCCAAAAAATCTTTACAAAATTCCGATTGTCATTCAGTGGTACATCTCACAGGATGTAAAAATTGTCAAGAGCTAAAAATATTCCAAAAATATACCATCTTATGGCCACAAAGGTCGATACAAATTTCACTATATTTCATGTCATTATTTTACTGAAATGTAATGGTTATACCATGCTTAAACATGTAGTTAGCAAATACAACATGGATTGAGGGGAAGATGCCAGAACTTACTTGCCCAAAAGCGTCGGCAAAATCAGCCAACACCAAGGCATCAGACCAGTAATTTCTGACTACTTGTTTCAAAATATAAACCATGTTGTGTATTTGTTTTAATACTCCTCATACACATTTTACTTCTTTATCAAGTGTTTAAGAAAGTCGCCAAAGTCTTTAGTCAGACTCTGGCAGAACGTCTTTAGTCAGACTCTGGCAGAACGCATGTAATACATTAAACAATGTAATGTGTCTGTTATAGAGGCTTTAGTATGGTACCACTTTGAAGTTGACCTAGGATCACTACTGTTGCATAGTCAAGGAGTCAGGGAGCTAACCTGGTAATGCTGATTGGGTGAGAGTTATGAGTGTACACTTTCCTAATGCATTGGTGCAGCAACCAATGAAAGAAGTGCATTTGGTTTATGAATTATGCATGAGTTGTAATGATCCTGCTTATTGGTGGGATTGGTATTGGGAGTGGTCCATTCATCCTAGGGGTTCGGTCTCTCTGTGCAGCCAGGCCAGGGCAGTTGGACGGCCCTGCCTCTCAAGCTCAGCACCCACGACCTCACGGCACTTGGCGTGGTAGTCGTTCAGCCAAGACACCTAAAGCACAAACAATGGAAGAGTAGACACATTTGCTCTTTGAAAATCCTCGACCTTTAACCCTAACTCCCTAGGCCTTTTTGTTAGTACATGCATGTAGCCTCAATCCTGCAAAATCCTCCAATTGGCCTCATGGAAAAATAGCATAGCCTCAATCCTGCAAATTCCTCCATTATTTCTTGAATATGGTCCGTGGAGGGGTGACCACTGCCTGAATCCTGCAGCAGTGACTGTCAATATGTTGAGGCTTGGTCAGTGACATCCTGGAGCAGTACGGAGGAGTTCAAGCATAATCCAGGCCTATATTTATGCATGGCTGAGCAAAAACAACACGAAGTCCGGCCCAAGACCTTGACAAAGTGCATCTTACGAAATCAGTAACGCAATTTTGCCATGTAACTTCAATCCTCCAAAGTCCTCCACTTTGGCAAAGAGGATTTTGAAGGATTCAGGGCGGTTAGGGTTAAAGGCCCCAGACTTTCAACCTGTCAACCAAGTTTCGTGGTAAGACGTCTACAATAGCAAGCAGGAGGTTCTGGGTTCAAGTCCCAGCCGAGAAGTTTGTGAATTTTTCCTCACAAGCACTCCATTGAGTATAAAAGTGTTAAAAAAAAATAATAATAGGCCGGTGATGGGCACAACCCAATATTGATTAATTCACACTTAAATTCATTTCTTGCAAGGGAAGCTGCAATGTTCACCTTTTTTAAACTTGTTTAGAGTTGAAGAATGATACGATTGTTGACAGCTGTGCTGTGAGACTGCTGTGCATGGTACTGCACATTGTGGTTCATATTATTCCAGAGAGGGGAGAATTTTTTCACTTTCTAGTAAGTGGGTTAGGAGCGCCACGTTTTGGGTATACATAGTGAGACACAGTTAGACATACAGGGTGTCTAAAAAAGGACACTTAGAGGGTTTGGTTTTTAGTGAAAATTCCTGTATTACCTCTTTCTCTGTCAGCAATGAGGGTTCAATCATCTTGGTCTGTATCGGCGCAAGGGTCACTGTCTCAAACGTCAGGAATCCAGTATTTCTGAAGTTGTACTGAAATAAAAGATTTTACAAGTTATGTATGGGCAGGAAAATGGAGGCTACATTTCATCCTACCTCTTTCTCCTGCAGCCATCTTAACTACACTCCACTTTTGCCACATTTTATTGAATAGGCTGTGCAGCATGTAATAACATATTAGTTCAGTGACGTGTGCAACAAATAATAGCATAACTTACGCAAACATTGAGTTGCGGCATAAGTTACTTCCTACAAACTGATAATGGACAATTTGACTGACTAATCAGAATTGTCATAAAGCCAGTCATTTGTGAATTAAAAAAAAAAAGTTTAATAAGAAAGAAAATAAGACAATCTATTTTAAAAATGGCAGGCAATGCAATAACTGTTTTGTGAGCAATATGTACAAAAATAACTCTCACAAAAGATATCCTTGTCCAAGATTTTTTTAACACATTAGTACCTGTACTACATTCCGTTACATTGTGTTTAATCAGTGAAGAATCAATAAAACCATACAGTTTACAGTGACTAGAGGGTTGCGCAGCTTTGCCAAGTTACAAGTAGTGAAGCTGCACAACCAATTTGTTGCAGAAATCCTGCACATGGTTTGATTATGCACTGTTTGGTGAAAGCTGAGTTTTGGTGGTTATGGTCCAAGTCCTGTCACAGTAAATCTGCAGAATTTGGGTCTTACAGGCACTCATGAGCACACAGTGCTAATATTGCTAATTCTTTTCAAGAACGTGATTTGTATCAAGAGGTTTTTAAGTTGAAATGAAAACAATACTCCTCATACCTTGGTTTCTACAGGCTTGACGAGGACAATATTCTCAATCCGAATACCAAATTCTCCATCCTCGTAATATCCTGGTTCTGCAATAAATAACAAATATAAAAAATAACTTGTGGGCATTTCCACAGAATTATAAACCTCAATGAAACACCTTTAAAAATACCACAAATGAAACATGTATGTCATTCTAAAGCTTATTACCTGTATTTTATTGAAATATAGATTATTTCTTACAATGTTCAAAAGCCCCGCTGTTACTTTAAGCCAAAGCAATTATTTAAGCACACAAAATATCAATTTGTCCGAGTACACCATAGTGTTTTGAGCCGATTTCTATTAGAGCAAAGAACTTGGTTTAATACTTTCTTTTTTTTAAATCATTGTAGTAACTAACTCATACATTTTATCAGAAAACACTGAATGTTGGTTTATTTTAGCCAGTGACATTTTTTTGCTAAGCAGATATTTTCTTAACTTAGCAAATTTCTGTGCAAAGCAACTTTAATGAATTGGGCCCCTGGCCATTATTTTTTCTTTCTGTCTCACCATCGGACATGAAGACCCCAGCTTCTAAGGCTGCGTCCAGGGCGCTCGCCCTCCAGCTGATCTGCTGGGGTCCCTCGTGGACATTCAGGAAAGCTCCCACCCCATGACCGGTGCCATGGAGGTAGTCTAGACCCGCCTCCCACAGGAAGCGCCGGGCAAAGGAGTCTATCATACTCCCTGGTGGGGAACACAAGGAAACAAACCATTTTAAGCATTGAAAATTACTACCCCCTCCCACCCGCCACCCTTTTATGATGGCCAAAAACACAGCAGCTTTCCACTTACTGTTTTTAGAGTAACTCAAAAGCTCACTAGCTGCTTATTCTTATTTTGGATAATAAACCAAGAATGCATTTCACGTACATCATTTTTGAGTGCACACATGTTAGACATTTATCACGGCTTTGAATTATCAAAACATCATGGGGCAGGGCCTATTGGATTTGTGTATTGACCCTGAATGCATGATTTTCTTTCAGAATATACTGTTTTAAAATTTTCATCAAGGATCAGTATCTATAGCAGCATCTATTGCTCTAAGTAAGCTTTCATCTGTAAGCCGGCTGGAAAAAACAACACATTTATGATAGTCGAAGAGTTTAGACAAGCACTATGATACCATCAACTTGAAATTGATCTAGTTATCCGTGAACAATATTAATATTTATATTTCATGGTCAAGGCAGAATACTTTTCTTTTTTGTAAATGGTAAATTATGGGTTTTTTTCTGGGCAATGTACCAGGGCTTACTCTGCTCACCTGTTGTCCCATTAGGAAATACAGACGTGGCCATTGATATGACGCCTTTAAGAACTCGGGTGAAACATTCCTGTCCAACAAAATTTAAAAGAAAATCATGAACCATAGCTGAAAACAAATGACTTGTCTGAGGAGGTAACAAAGAGGATAAGCCCTTTCATAACTTGCATTGTTGTATTCACGAGGCGAAGTTCAAATTTTACCTTTCCACTCTGAGCCACTCAATATTTGTATACCATTTACTTCATACATGTATACACTGTGTTGCATATAAATTACCTCATATGCACCGCGTTGCATGTAAAAAAACTTATCTCATATACACAGCTTCCCTACTATGCTCCCTCAGATCACTATATCCAACCTCAAAGCAGTCAACAGTTATTAAAGTACGGACTGTGTGTTTTAATAACAACAGTGGGTGCCAATGTTCCTCACAAATTCGTGACACGTCCAGTTACAAGTAAATCGTAAGTCCTTTCACAAGTCCAGTCACGAGTAGCAGTGGATGAAAAGGAATGCCTTTGTCACAGTTAATTAGTTTGTGACTTGACTTGGGACTGGACGCCTTGCCACAGATTTGTGGGAACTTGTGATGGACTTGATGGACTACCTATTCAATAAGCTTGCACAAAGTTTGAAACGCCCAAAGGTCTATTTATTTGCTCTCTCTCTTCATCACTTCAACTTTTGTGCACGTAGGTTTTTTCTTTTTCTGTTCTACTTCAACCCCAAGTTTCACTTGCCTACTGCAGTTTTCACTAAAACAAATTGAAACGTTCAGTGAATGAATCATGGCACCTTCCTGAACATTCACTCCACGATCACATAAATTGATTATGCTTCTCTTTACCTTTTGGTATGGCGTAGGCGTGCCAAAATGCATAGTCCTTGTTACATCAGTTGTTCCGTCTCTAAAGAAAAAGTTAGAGAAGAAAAAGAAATACTGCAGGTAAGTGCCTGACCTCTTCCAACTATGGGCTTCTGTGCACAGTACCCCTTCAACGGCCAGAAAAGGAGAGTTGGGGGAGACCTAGACTGGTTTCCGGTCCATCCACTGCGTATTTCGAATGATCCAAAGTTATTGGGGGCTGGGATTAGTCTGGGAGACCATCACAAGTTAAATTTGAACGTATTCGCGCGCTGACAACGCCTGACGCTCAACGCCTGACGCTCACTTTGGCACATTCAGGGAGTCGAGCGTACTTCGCGAGCGAGTACACACACAGTGTGTCCCATCCACGGCACTCTCAAAAAGTGGTAAAAGCGCGCCCTCTTTTGTTGGTGCACAGAGCCCATAGGCAAATATTTTGTGTGATTCTACTCTCAGTATTGGATTTTGTCATTTAAAACTTTATAGGGGCTTTTTAACGAGTTCTTTCTAAGAGATTCAACATCACAATGGGACTTGAACCCACAACTCCAGGCTTACTAGTGCAGACCTCTTAACCCTTCAACCACTATAAAAGCTTAACAGGGTCAGTTGACTGGTTCGAAACTGACACAGAGGCGGGCACTGCAATCAATATCTTTAGGTCTATTTAGAATTTATTTTTCTCTGAAAAAAAAGATAAGATACCCATTGCAGGTCACAGCTGCACATACGCGATAACTCGCCGCTGCGATAACCCGCCGCCGCGAAGGGCATTATCACGACCAACCAATATCACCCACAAACCTGTCAGGAACAACGTCTTGGGAAATTTGTAAAATCTCCCCCCGAAAAATGGGGGAAACTAGTGCGCATGTGCTACTTCTGCAGGTCCATTTTCAGTCTCACGCACACTACACACCACAAAAGAGCTGACCAGTGAAGTTGCACAAAAGTCTTGCTGCATCTTTTATTCTACTGGAAGTAATTTAAGAGTTTGGTTCGGAACTACAATGAAATGTTTTGAATGCGCGCGCTACATACATGTATATTAGGCCAAACAGGGGTGAGCGCGTTACACAACCAATAGGAATTGGCCTAGACACTGTTCCTGACGGGTTCGTGAATGATATTGGTTGGTCGTGACAACGCCCTCTCGCGGCGGCGGGTTATCGCAGCGGTGGGTTATCACGTACTAGTTTATCAAACCGTAACAACGCCTAGCCCCTAGACTACTGCACAGCCAATTTTCACATTAACTCTCACTATGTCAGATTGATTCAGCACTGTGCTCTCTGGCATTGTACTAACACAGCATGGTTTAAGGGGAAAAAGTTACAAAAAGTGTGGACTGATTTTGACAACCTCAAAACGGAGAGCTGAGAGAGTTACTTTATTTTTTTGTTTGCAACTTGACCCTCATTTTGTGGAAGCGGGCCATACATCTATTTTAAGGAAAAGGTTTAATTCAGCAGCACTTGAGTTACATTATAAAAACCTTCCTGCTATCTGAACAAACGCAGACAGTCAAAAAAAATCAATCCTCTTCCCCTGCCAAGCCTTTTACACAGGCTAGTCACCAACATCTAGATCATATTTCAAGATTTCAAGCAAGCACTCTGACTAGTCAAATTCAGTCAACAGACAAAAATAGGCAAGTGGCAGACACAGCTGGCTTGTCAATCACCTACGATCAAAGCATAGCTGTATCAAGTTACATAAACAGTCACAACCAGTCAATCATACTTTATGTTGGCTGGGAGCTCTTAACTGTTGAAAATAGTCACAACAGTCACTTGATTGATTTTCGACTGAAAGGTCAACTTGGCACAGAATGTATATTTGCATAGGAGGGTTAAACCATACATTGCTATGGCAGTTTGGGGCAGTGTAGGCAGTAACAGGCTGGGTAGTTTGGGGTAGCTCAGGATCCCATGGGCTCCTTACGTGAACTGGGCAATTTTGGGCAGTATAGGGAGTAACAGGCTGGGTAGTTTGGGGTAGCTCAGGATCCCATGGGCTCCTTACGTGAACTGGGCAATTTGGGGCAGTATAGGGAGTAACAGGCTGGGTAGTTTGGGGTAGCTCAGGATCCTATGGGCTCCTTACGTGAACTGGGCAATTTTGGGCAGTATAGGGAGTAACAGGCTGGGTAGTTTGGGGTAGCTCAGGATCCTATGGGCTCCTTACGTGAACTGGGCAATTTGGGGCAGTATAGGGAGTAACAGGCTGGGTAGTTTGGAGTAGCTCAGGATCCTATGGGCTCCTTACGTGAACTGGGCAATTTGGGGCAGTGTAGGCAGTAACAGGCTGGGTAGTTTGGAGTAGCTCAGGATCCTATGGGCTCCTTACGTGAACTGGGCAATTTGGGGCAGTATAGGGAGTAACAGGCTGGGTAGTTTGGGGTAGCTCAGGATCCTATGGGCTCCTTACGTGAACTGGGCAATTTGGGGCAGTATAGGGAGTAACAGGCTGGGTAGTTTGGGGTAGCTCAGGATCCTATGGGCTCCTAAGTGAACTGGGCAATTTGGGGCAGTATAGGGAGTAACAGGCTGGGTAGTTTGGGGTAGCTCAGGATCCTATGGGCTCCTTATGTGAACTGGGCAATTTGGGGCAGTATAGGGAGTAACAGGCTGGGTAGTTTGGGGTAGCTCAGGATCCTATGGGCTCCTTACGTGAACTGGGCAATTTGGGGCAGTATAGGGAGTAACAGGCTGGGTAGTTTGGGGTAGCTCAGGATCCTATGGGCTCCTAAGTGAACTGGGCAATTTGGGGCAGTATAGGGAGTAACAGGCTGGGTAGTTTGGGGTAGCTCAGGATCCTACGGGCTCATTACCTGAACTGGGCAATTTGGGGCAGTATAGGGGGTAACAGGCTGGGTAGTTTGGGGTAGCTCAGGATCCTATGGGCTCCTTATGTGAACTGGGCAATTTGGGGCAGTATAGGGAGTAACAGGCTGGATAGTTTGGGGTAGCTCAGGATCCTATGGGCTCCTTACATGAACTGGGCAATTTGGGTAGTATAGGGAGTAACAGGCTGGGTAGTTTGGGGTAGCTCAGGATCCTATGGGCTCCTGACGTGAACTGGGCAATTTGGGGCATTACAGGGAGTGACAGGCTGGGTAGTTTGGGGTAGCTCAGGATCCTATGGGTTCCTTACTTGAACTGGGCTCCAGAGTCACACAGGTAGATTTCCTGGGTGTTGAGGGGTGCATCGGTCTCTGGGCTGGCTTTGTAATGAATGATGGCCCCGTGGGCCCCTGTGCTGGAGATTGTGGCGAAGCTCAGACTTACAAAGTCCTCTTGCTCCCTGTGAAATGAAAGAATTAACAAGTAATTATTTTTTGCTATTTCAATAAATGTTATGGTGGACAATTTCTCACCGATAGACAGGTTTCGTTTACAAAAGGATACGTGTAACAAGACACATTTGTTTCGCGTCAAGCATGCATACGCATACACTTAGCTTCTGGGTACCAGTTTTTAGGGACACTTAAAGTGGTAGTTGTACTCCAAAATGGCCGCCTCCGATAAAAGCAATGTATCTGTGGCTAATTCCTGCTTCAAAATAAGGGCCAAAGGCACATACATTGTAAATCAGTCAAGTCATAAATGATTGCTTTCGTAGCTACAACTACTTCATCAGATGCAATGAAGAGGGGCATCATCATCATCCACAAACTGTAAAGTGAGCATTTGTGATAACCAAGGATGCTCTACACACCTTCGGAATTGTTCTAGCTGATCGGAGGCGGAAATTTCAGTCAGATTACCCTTGGGGACCTAGGGGAGCAAAGAACACAAACAATCTGATGAAGAGGTTAGGTGGAAGAATATGTCACTTTGTAGGAAAAGGTATAAATAATATGGGCCCAATTTTAATAATTCTGGTAAGCACATCTATTGCTTAATAAAGTTAGTGCATTGCCAAAATCAGTCAGGAACCAGTGAATATTAATATGCACCACACGATATTTTTGCTGGTAACCTGTGTTTTTTTTTGCTATTCCATGTATATTTGTGCTTAACAAACCTTTGTGCACGGCGGCTCTATGCAATTTGGCTCTGGGCTTAGCCCATTCTAGATGACAATTCGGATTTGAGAAATATTGGTGAGAGGGTTTTAAGATTTCTTTATCAATGTTTGATTTTTTTTACATGTATGCATGTGAGGCAGGGCCAAATTTATCTTGTATATTTTTCATGTATGAAGTGTATAGTATATAGGAGTAGCTCCCCTTTAGAACAAAAAGAAATCATTTTAGTCTTACTTAAGATTCCCCCCCCCCCTTTCTTGGTAGTGTGTCCCCCTGGTTGTTTACTTTAGCCCACATGTTTCCCCTATATTAGCTGCCACATGGTCCAGCCACACTTTAGTTCAATCAGCAGACCAACAGAGACAACTTCATAGTATACCGGTATCTTATGTTCCTCCTAACTGGAGTGGTGTGTCCTGTTTGAGCTCTGTCTGCTCGAGTCATTTGATTTTATTCCTGCTTGAGTGTTCTTTGAAAGATCCACTATTCACACTGTGTTGGTTTTTGGTTTTAGTCTTTGGTTTTTAGATTTTATTCTTTGCTTTTAGTTTCTGGTTTTTGGTTTAAGGTTCTTGTGAATAAATTCTTTTTGGTCCTTTTTTGTTTGAAATCTAGAATTCATCTCTGGTCTCTATTAATTCAATTTCCTCGCAAATTTTCCCTTCAAAGATCCTGAGTTTAGTTTAGTTTTGTTAGTTAATCCCCATAGAGTCTTAGTTTGTGCGAGTTCCCCCAAGTGTGTCATTTTTCCAGGTTACACATGATTCTCACACTTCGGTCTAAAATTCAACCATGCGCATGTACACCAAATAATTAAATGACAAGGCAAAAAAATGTCAACAGTGCACTATGCCACTGCACTAAAAAAAATCACTGCATTTTAATAAAAAGGTTGTAGACAAACGCAAAATAGCTGAAGCATGAATTCTTCACATCTTTTCCATGAAGTACAGTCTAATGTTCACATCCTTAGCACCAATAGTAAACAACACAGTGCTGAAACCAGGGATGATATTGTCCATTTAAAACAAAAGTCTGAAAATTGATGAAAATGTATGAAAGATGTATATCTTTCTATACTAATAATGTCTTTTTCTCAGATTCAAAAATTTAGATTTCAGACAAAAGTCTGAAAAATTTAATGTCTGTGTGAAACATTTGGACCGGCCATAACAAATGAGATGTGCAAATTTGTATTCAAATAAATGTCACGAACCACTGCCAGAACCTCTGATATGAAGGATTTCAATACAATATAAAAGTTGGTCTTTGCTATATGGTCACACACAAGAGCACCATATCTAATTGAAAAAGAATGGGATTTTCGTATGAAAAAAACCCATTGTGCTATGCTCCAACATACCTCTTTCTCTAGCCACATGAAGTATTCACATAGTGCCACTGCATCGCGTATCTACAAGAATCGACAAAGGAGAAGTAATCTTATCAAGTTAATAACCTCTTCCTATGTTTATCTTTAGTTTGCGAAAGTATCTCTCGAGTTTTAGGCTTGTTTCACCGACTGTGTTAACAGCAGGCTCTGAAAAGACAATTTTTACGTTAAAATGACCCCAAAATTAAAGTCACTTATGATGTGTTTGCCACGACAATTAGGACAGATTCAACCCATCCTAAATATCTTGGAATTGTTCAGTAGCCATTGTGTGTAAGGGGAGTGTGTGGCCTAGTGGTTAGGGTTCGTGACTCACGATCAGAGGGTCAGGGGTTCGAATCCAGCTGCTGGCCATATGTTGTGTCCTTGAGCAAGCCACGTCACCCCCACTTGCCCCTCTCCACCCAGGAGTATATAATGGGTACCGGTGTTAGCTGGGGAGTAACCTGCGATGGACTAGCATCCCATCCAGGGGGAGTAGAAATATTCTCAGTCGTTTCATGCTACTGAAACCGGAGATAAACGCCGGCCTGATGAGCCACTTTGGCTCACGACAGCCTTTTTTTTTTTTACATTGTGTGTATGTGTTTATTCACGGTAAAATGTGAGGCGTTCTGCCAAAATGAGATGAAACTGGGCACTGACCTAAGAGGAGAAAAATGCAAACAACTGAACACGGGTGATTTATTGATATTTGTAATCTCTGATGTGGCTATACACATTTTAAAGAAATAATACAAAAATCGTTTACGGAATAACAATTGGCATCTTTCATTTTCACGAATACAAAACTCGAAAATTTAAAGGCCTTTTTCTCAGTATTTTACTTTTTTGACATGTCGATAAACGCGAACTTTAAACTGTCATAACTTGTCAACAGAATGTCCGATTGAAGTGCAACAAACGGTACTGTAAGAGGAATTGTATTCTCTTTCCTAATACCCACAAACCCTCATTTCGACCTCTGCCCAGTTCTTTCTCATTTTGCCAGAACGCCTCACAAATTATTGTGGTACTTATATAGTGCTTTATACCAGGGTATCAATGCACAATTATTACCCCTGTTCGTAAGGCCATGAGACCAGTTTCCCGCAGCAACGTAATCTGGTCCTGTACTCAGTTACCCATTTATAATTCTGAGAGAGACAATTGTAGTAAAGTATCTTGCCAAAGAACACAAACACCATATGTGCCCGTCAGGGTTCGAGCCCACATACCATCGCCCACGAATCACACACCGTAACCAGTTATGATACGATTAATTGAAGTACTTTGTCAAATCAAACCTAAGATTTGTTAAAAAAAAACTTACATGTGCGTTCTTCATGCCCTGTATCTCTACATCATTCTTGACTGCTTTGCTGGCCAGCACAGGGGTCCCATGCAGGATACACTGGGACTATAAAGTAATAACAACAAAGGTGACCTGTCACAACAAAAACAACCTTTAAGTCAGATTTCCAAGGAAATGAGACGTTTGTATTTCTCAAGTCTGTAGAACAAGAGCATTCAAAAGGAATACAGACGAATCCTGTATAGTCACAGAGAACCCTTCAATGGAGAAACCATTGTGCACGCTATTGGACAAAGCAACTGCCCCGTGACAGATTATCCTACAAGAGCTATCTCAATCCTTCCGAAATTAAATCCTTTTCCTGATTGAAGTGATAGTGCGCTTGGATTTGTATATCAGGGCTAAAATGCACAAAACCATTTATAAAGATTCAGACAACCATTTACACTGCAAGCTAAAGAAGGTACATTTTTCCCAACAGTTTATGGAAATTCCTCAAAACATTGCATTGAATTTAGTTTGCTAGTTGTTTTTTTCTTGGAGATTGAATGCAAAAAGCTGCCTGCAAATTGCATCATGTGTTGTGGCCCAATTCTTCTGAGGGTACTGAGTTTAGTAATGCCAATATACAGGGTGGATAAAAAATTTAAAAACCCAGATATTATTGCTATCTGGAACAGAAGTAGGGCACATGTGAATCAAAGGGAGATATCCTCTGTTAGGGTTGAATCTCCTCTTTAATGACACCCTGACCATGGCATTACATTCATGGTTGACTGAGCAGTGACCAATTTTATGACAGGGTCTATTAAGAGACTTGCACCACTTTTCAATTGTGGTTTATGTGGTGTCATTTGTCACAGAGTGAAAGGCTATGGTTGCCAATCAAGGCAGGTGGGGGAAAAAAGAGATTTCACCACGAAAAATGGCGCAACTCTCCAAATAGACCCTTTCGTAAAATTGGTCACTGCTCAGTCAACCGTGAATGTAATGCCATGATCAGGGTGTCATTTTAAAGAGGAGATTCAACCCTAACAGAAGATATCTCCGTTTGATTCACATGAGCCCTACCTCTGTTCCAATTAGCAATAATATCTCGGTTTCTTTCTTTTTTATCCACCCTGTAGATCGCCAGAGTTACTGAAGTTGAGTAACATTTATTTGTTGGCTCATTTTGTGGTTACATGGTCAATGAGTGGTCATTCAAAATTTGCTAATGGCATACACAGTGAATTCCATATGAAGGCTGGATTACCGCCCGTTTGCCTAGTTACATACCTTGGGAATACAGCTGACTAAAGCATAGCTGGACTTGGGACTCATCTGTGTGAAAACAAGAAAACGAAGAAATAATGGAAAGTTACTGAATTCAAATTGCAAAATAATACACAAGGTCTAAGCATCTGAATTAAAAAAAAAAAATATGGTAGGCCAAAGTGGTTTTACCTAGATGTTTCAAACATGCTTTGAACTTTTACGCAAGTAAATTTTAAGAAAACTATTCAATCAACATTTTCAGGTAGAGATATTTAACCAGTCATGCAACTGGAAATAAAAAAACGCGGAAATGTCTTACCACACAAGACTTTGTACAGCGTTTTCCAATTTGTAATGACATTCATGAGAAGTAAAAAAAGAGGAAATAAGCGGATCCAAGGAAAAGTTGCATGCCTGTTTAACAAAGTTGCCAAGAATTCCACAAATGTGAGTCAACTAATTTTCAGATAAACTTGCCATCACCAAGACTTATTCAATGTTAATTCATCCTCTCACGGCATTGTTTTAATTTTAATAACAGCATTAATTGTTGTATACAAAGAGTTAATACTAACACAAAATGCATCAAGAGTCACACACTAGTTAGTTGGTGGTTCTCCGATAGCCATATTCTTGAACAAATGGCGTATTGACAGACGTGCATCCAACATTACTGTTCCAATTTGCTAAAAAATACAGCCTATTGAATTTTATATTGGCTGCCATGACTATTATGCCGAACAGTGACCTCTACAGTTCCCACATAAAACCAAACTCTCCTAGCACTCTGCGCACATTCAATTATTCATCTCTACCAGGGACGTTAAACATACCCAGGTTTTTCCGGTGTCGCTACCTTCCTGATACAGATCAGCCAGGAACTGTTGGATGGCTTCATACTCCTGGATTTCGACTTTCAACCCATCATTCATGAGATGGTCCCTCACTTCCTTGGTCAACTTCTGATCATCTATGAACAAGCTAAAAGATAAAAAGAAAAAAAAATAACCCCAAGGCCATTATTACAGTTGTCCAAAATCCTCCAAAATTGTGGATTTACAAGGGATACCCACTGCATCAATCCTTCAAAATCCTTCAACAGCCCTGCCTCAAAATGCATTCAGCCTCAATCTTTCAAAATCCTCATCTCCTTCAAACATCGTTCAGCCTCAATCCTCCAAAATCAACCAATACTGAATGTCCATGTGCCCTCAATCCTCCATAATAATTGTCTTCCAAAATCTTCCAAAACCATTCGGAGGAATTTGGAGGATTGAGGGTCAGGGTTAAAGGTGCACTTTTATTGGGAGATCTCCAACATTTTGTGCTTTAGCTTGTTATTAAAATAACCAAACTTCACTTATCTTGGTCACCTAGCATTTAGAAAAAATGTTGAAGGGCCATTCCTTAAATGTGGGGGGGGGGGTAAAAGGGTGACTTTTTTGGTTACTCTGATACACCTGACCTGTGTAATTTGCCATGCAAGTATCATTAAAATTGACTTCAAACTATTTTTGTTTGTTTGGCAGATACATTTGTACTTTCCTTTGCATAAGGCGGCATTAAAGAATGTGCCTTGAATTTACTAAATCTTAAATCAGATGTAACAGGGGACACAAAAAGAATTGGACCCTAAATTTATGGAAAGCTTTATATTTCTTAACATCACGAAAATTATTGCATTTTGTCATGGTTTTGTATAATAATAAGAAAGTGGCTAATTATTGTATATATACCTACCTTGGATGGAAATAAAGTCAAGCAAAGTAAAAAGAATGACCCTGTATGTATATTTACAGTGAAATACATGTATCCCAAATGTAGATTATTGATATAATTTCCTATATTTATAGCAATCAACTTTTTCTTGCAAAACAAGTGCTACAAACACCATCGTGAACATCTATGAGAATGCTCTGAATACTTACTACACGCTGTCCATGCCAACGACTGCATACGCAACGAAGACAGGATTGTACTCAATGTCAGATCCCCTTAAATTGAAGAGCCCTGTTGGAAAAACAAAGCAGGAAAGCATGACAAAAACATTTCAATTCTTGTTTACCCTCAAATTTTTGTCTTAACTAGGAATAAATCTTCCAACCGCCAGAATTTGTTTAACCACTTTGTACCAGGATTGTTTTTGCCGAAACTTTCAATTTTCGCAAAAGGCAAAATTTTCCAGCCAACTTTTGAACCTCTGATATACAGCCAATCGCCTCAAATACTGATTCCCAAGAGTTATTTCAACAGTATTTGCACGATATTTCTAGCTGAAGCCTCATATGTTTCAATACTCTAGGGTGTGCACTGGAGCGTAAATTTTACAATAGGCCGTGCACAACGGCCAATTCAAGATCAACACACGGTCCGCCTCCAAAGACTTCACGGACTGTGTGTGTGTGTGAACAAAATACATGATTAGCGTGTTTAGACGTCACCCGGAGGCGAGTCGAGGCAATCTAGACGTCTTAACTAGCTGTGCCTGTGTACAAAAACAGCCAGTGCGTGTTATCACGTCCTCCGACGCGATCTGGTAAAATTCACTGCTCCAGACCACTAAGCCATGGCACCCCACACTCTACCCCATAAAATACGCAAAGAGTTAGCAAAATGGTTCAGAGTTGGCTCAACTTTCCTGCTAAACGTTAAGCAGCATAATAACAATGACATATATTGGGATTGACTCACATGCAATTTCATCCAGTGCTGTCAGGACTAGGTACTGGGCATTCTTACTGGTCATTGCTTCGCGCATCTTGTTGATCTTCTCTGGCCAAGAGACACCTATATTGTATTGAAACATTAAGCAGTACACTTTAAGGCAACAGAATTTATAGATTATTAATAATTTATGGTGAAAGGCAAAAGCCTAATTTGATTTATAAATTATTACCGGTTAGCAACTGTGTTACACTGTACAGGGTGAGTCAAAAAACACGAAACCCAAATGTCGGGACTATTGTTTTAGTGAAGTTCTGCATGTAGCACTATCAAAATCTAGGGTATAAAAGCCCAATTCGTAAGCTTTCTTTTAGTACAAGAATCATTCAAATCACGTATGTACTTTTCAAGTTATGGAGTTTTAAACACAACCACCGTTTTAAAGTTCTGTCCACGGATCACACAAATGGTGTGCGTTCTTTCAGCAAAACGAAAACAATTCACAAACATCCCTATGTGATTTTTTTTCGTTTTGCTGAAAGAACACTTACCTTTTTGTGATCCGTGGACAGCACTTCAAAATGGTGGTTGTGTTTAAAATTCCTTAACTTAAAAAGTACAGAAGTGATTTGAATGATTCTTGTACTAAAAGATAGCTTATGAATGGGGCTTTTATATCCTACATTTTGAAAGTGCTACATGCAGAACTTCACTAAAACAATGGTCCCGACATTTGGGTTTCGCTTTTTTTTTACTCACCCTGTATTACATTGTGTTTATTCCGTTTGGGCGGTTTCAGGCACTACAGTGAGTTATATAGGCAGGGTGGATCTAGGCAGTACATTGACTAAACGGTTAAATATAGGTTTGCCATTGACACAGTTACATTGATAGCAGAATATCAGCATTTACAGCAACATTTGCAACAACAACAAAAACAGCCCCAGCAGTAACAGCAACTGCAACTGCAGCGCATGTAATAACAACAACAGAACTATGTTGCAATAGCCTTTTACGGACAGATCAACAATGTGCAGTGAGGGCATATTATGTCCTTCATTGTGGGAGAGTTTGTGCTGTGAATGGAGACTTTCGTGAAACACTGTCCTTAAATTTAGTGCAGCATGTGTAAAAGTCTAAAATGGGATATGCCTACAGGTCTAGACTTAATACTACCGTTAAATATATCTCATTCAAAAGAATGAATGGACGGTGAGTGAATTTGCGTCGCCTGCCTGATAGCTAATACATGTATATGCTTACTGTAGCAGAAAATCCCTGCTTACTGTACCATCGTACCATCCATTACTAAGGATTCTGTGCTTACAGGGTTAGCACAGAACACAATTACAGTGGAACACCGCTATAACGAACATCATGGAATCCACAGAAATTGTTCGCAAAGCGATTTTCACAATTAAGTGGTGTCCTCTTTTGATCATTGTTGTTGTGAAGTTGCATTTACAAACCACACGCCGAGTCGCAAAATGACAAACGTGTCCATTAATATTTTCAATTCCGTAGCAGAACTTCACCAAGTACGCCCTGGTAGTTACTGAAAGACGACTTCGAACATGTGCGACTATCAAATCATGTAATTACACAGTTTTTGAGCTTACGTGGGTGGCTTTTCCCTTATATTCGTCATGTGGGGGAAAATAGCCATTTGTCGCTCTTCTGTTGACATTTCCAACAACAATCTTTGGAATGTTTTTACACGAGGCTGATGTTCGTTACAGCCAAATGTTTGGTATAGCGGTGTTCGGTATAGGGACGTTCCACTGTAGTACAAAATGGTGATCGTAAGCACGGAATTCTGTGGTTAGCAGAGCCATGAAACTGGGCCCTGGTCTTACCGGCAAACTTGGTTTCTTGAACGATCACTTGGTCGAATGGTGGGGACGGTCTCTCGTCTCCCCACACCAGGTCTACCAGGTTGACTACAGTGGGCACCAGACTGATGCCTTCCTGGCTCAGTGTGGTGGAGAATTTCTTCCACTGATCTGAAAACAGTCCAGATTGTCAAGAACAGTTGAAAAAACAGATACTGAATACTAAATACGAAAGAAAGGTTTGTGTAAACACCATATGGAAATAATTTCTAAAACTAAGAGAATGGTTCTGAAAAGAACCAGAGGTATAAACTTGACGTTCCGGTCAGTATGCTCTGACCGTCGCCAACTTTATACCTCTAGTTCTTCTCAGAACCATTCTCTTAGTTTGAGAAATTATTCTCACATGGTGTTTCCACAAACCTTTCATCCATTAGTATCTCCATCATGCAAAGCCTCAAATCTTACTGAACAGTAAATAGATATTGAACGCACAAACAATTATACAACTGTGAGCTTGATTAGATTTTGTCAAAGAGAGGAATACCGGGGATTCATACCCGGCACATAAAACAAACGTGAACGCAAATTTGTGGGTTCATGGCGAGTCTTTGCTCTGCGGATTCGCAAGAGTTAAACACACGTCAACTCTGGCACATTTTGCTGCGAACGATTTGTGATGTCACACTTGCTTGCCGTTTGTATTTATGACAAGTATGAGCCAACCTTTTGACTGACACGCTGCCACCATATGCCTGCCGTCTATACGAAGACACTATGGTGTTACGTACAGTAAGAAGAAACATTAGTAATTTGTACTTTAGGCTATACAGGGTGAGTAACAGAAAGCGAAACCCAAATGTCAGGACTATTGTTTTAGTGAAGTTCTGCACGTAGCACTTTCAAAATCTAGGATATGAAAGCCCAATTCATAAGCCTTCTTTTAGAACAAGAATCATTCAAATCACTCATGTATTTTTCAAGTTACGGAATTCTAAACACAACCACCATTTTAAATTGTGTCCACGGATCACTAAAATGCGTGTGTTCTTTCAGCAAAACGAAAACAATTCACACACATCCCTATGTGATTTGTTTTCGTTTTGCTGAAAGAACACTGAACTTTTTGTGATTCGTGGACAGAACTTTAAAACGGTGGTTGTGTTTAAAATTCTGTAACTTGAAAAGTATATGAGTGATTTGAATGATTCTTGTACTAAAAGAAAGCCTATGAATTAGGCTTTCATATCCTAGATTTTGAAAGTGCTACATGCAGAACTTCACCAAAACAATAGTCCCGACATTTGGGATTCGTTTTTTTACTCGCCCTGTACACATGAAGCAGTGCGCATGCATGATGTGCCTCGCATAATACATCTCTTGTACATGGCCATATAGTGCTAACTACGGTTCATTTACAGAGTCTACATCAGGCATGCAACAGAAAGTTTAGAAAAACCAAGGAAATTCCAAACCACACAAGACTTTGTACAGTATTTTACAATTTGTAATGGCATTCATGAGAAGTAAAAAAAGAGGAAATCAGTGGATCCGAGGAAAAGTTACATGCCTGCTATATGATGATTTTTCTATTACATGTTCACGAACACTCAAACCACGCAAATTCTCCCCCCCCCCCCCCCAGAATTTCCAACACTCTCCCTGCACCCTCTGCTCTGCACACTCATCTTACCATTTGCAAACAAGAACGGGTCGACACCAACACGGGCACCTTTCGGTAAATTCTGTGTTACAAACAAACAAACAAAAAGACAAAGTACAAAATTAATATTGTTGAAAACTATGGGACAGAGCTACCTGTAGTACAACTTAAAGTTTTTGAAAACTATGAGATATGCGAATTTGCGAATAATTTAGTATTCAATTATCCGAAACTGCGATTGACCGAATATTTGAATATTTAGGACTGTCTGATTTTACACGCACCAGTCGCATCCGCGCGGCGTGCCAGGCAATAGTTGCACACGAAGCACGCTGGTTAAATTGTGCGAGGGGCAAGCGTTATCATTTTGGTCGGGATTGTAGCCCCTCTTACCTTGACTAGCCAATCTTCCTGCGATGGCGTCTTCTTTAAACCTAAAAACAAACATGGACAAAACATTATGATCTCCATTATTACATGACTGGCATGCATAAATGAACTCTATGAAAACAGAATATAACTTAGACAAGATAAGTTTGTGGTAGCACCATGTGAATAAATCTCTTTTGTGAGTATGTGTGGTTCTGAAAAGAACCGGAGGGACTCAACATTTCGAACAGTATGCTCTGCCCGTCGTCAGGAGAATGAGGGATTCCAACGATGATGCGATGTTATAAGGATGGGTGCGGTGAGGCGTGAGAAGGACGCAAACTGGTGAAGCTCGAAACCGGTGAAGCTGGGAAGGATGCAAGTTGACTGAGGGATGCTGGATGATCACTGGAGCGTGTCAGTACACAGTGAGGAGAATGAGGGATTCCAAGTACATTTAAACCCACTAGGGGCCTGGACGCAGATAATGACTGCTCAAAACGTTGAGTCCCTCCGGTTCTTTTTCCGAACCACACATACTCACAAAAGAGATTTATTCACATGGTGCTACTGCAAACTTATCTTGTCTTAGTATCTTTCCACCATGCAAACCTTCAAATCTCAGCATATAACTTGTTTTACTGCAGCTTTAGATTCTAATTGGCTGCCCATGACATGCAGCTTACATATTAAGGGAACAAATGTGTGCTTGGCCAGATTTAAACAATTACATTTAAAACTGGCTACGGGCCTGGACACGGATAATGGCCCAAACCGAAAGCGAGGGTCATTATCTGCGTCCAGGCCCCTAGCGGTTTTAAATGTACTTGTTTAAAACCTGCCAAGCACATACACAAGTAATTTATTCCCTTTTAGTCAAAAAACCAAAACAAGTCATTTTCAATGATTTTTGTTCAACAATTCTACTTCTGTTTTGTGAAACACCCCTCTGGCCATGTCTATGGTATGTGCCTTGCGCGAGTAGTGCTAAAAATCTCCTTATATGGAGATTGGTGGGTGCGGGTCGCCTACTGCGCTATGTGGCGCAGAATGCAGCGGTGTTTTACCGGTGGTTTAAAACCACCCATGTGATGAGCTCTCAACCAATAGGAATTGGCAATCTGTCTCAGGTATTTATGAATGTTATATAAAAATTATAATGCTTTGTGTTTGCAGAGTATCAAGCAATGCCAAGACCTGATTCAATTTACATAAAAAGAATAACATCACATGACCTTACAACTATTTCAGACTAGCTATCAAGAGTCGTGAAGAACTAAATTATTACAAAGATTTCGAATAAAGTTCAATATTTGAAAGTTTTAGAGAGTCACTACACTTGCCAGGCGTACAAAGACGAATTGTCACGATCTTTCAGAATGATTCCACATATTAAAATGAAACATACAGGGTGAGTAAAAAAAAACCGGAACCCAAATGTTGGGACCATTGTTTTAGTGAAGTTCTGCTGGTAGCACTTTCAAAATCTAGGATATGAAAGCCCAATTCATAAGCTTTCTTTTAGTAGAAGAATCATTCAAATCACTTATGTACTTTTCAAGAATTTTAAACACAACCACCGTCTTAAATTAAAGTTCTGTCCACGGATCACAAGAAGAAAAGTGTTCTTTCAGCAAAACGAAAACAAATCACATAGGGATGTGTGTGAATTGTTTTCGTTTTGCTGAAAGAACGCACACTTTTTTTGTGATCCGTGGACAGAACTTTAAAACGGTGGTTGTGTTTAAAATTCTGTAACTTGAAAATTACATAAGTGATTTGAATGATTCTTGTACTAACAGATAGCTTATGACTTGGGCTTTCATATCCTAGATTTTGAAAGTGCTACATGCAGAACTTCACTAAAACAATAGTCCTGACATTTGGGTTTTGCTTTTTTTTTACTCACCCTGTATATGACTTGAAGCTTTGCATGGCGGATGAGATCAATTATAATGTTCGCGGGTAACACCATGTGGAAAGAAATCTCTTCTAGGAAGAAGTGTGGTTCTGAAAAGAACCGGTTGGTTGAGTGTAGAACTCGACGTTTCGGACAGCGCGCTCTGTAATATTAAAATGAAAATTAATTCTATTTGCTCGAATACTTTTTGGGGTTAGCGCAACTCTACATAGCCAGACTGAGTTAAACGGCCATATGAAAAAATGTAAATCTCTCACAGTTACACCTGTATTTTTTAGACTGAACCCATCCACAATGAGGGGTAAATTTCTAGAAGCTTCGACAAAACCTTAACTAACGCTAAGCAAATACACCTATATGTGGTAAGCAGCATATTAGCTGAAAACCAGCAATGTGTATATGTCTTAGAGTCATTGACCACTCACCATGCTTCATTAAGGTCCAATTGGAATCCATTTGTTGAGACGCCTGTAAAAAATACCTCCCGTCTGTCCACATAGCTGCAATGTCCTCAGTGACTAAGGCTGTCCCTGTTCACAGACAACATAAAGAAATAAAAGTTCTTGACATAAATCCATACTAAAAACAAACCCAAAGAAACAGAACCCAAATTTCTGGCTCAGCTTACCATTAGCAAAACTTCCCACTCACTGTGCTTACGATAAGCGTATTTCACAGGTAAGCAAAGAATTTTGGATTTATAGGCACATGCTATTGTACATGTACAACAGTTGCCTCTAAGATAATGAGAACAGTCCAATGGAGCAAGAAATTCAAGATATGAACTTACCAAAGGAACCTGTGAATCCGGATATGTAAGCGCGACGGCAATCACACGCTGCTATGTACTCACTCTGTAAAGTAAAACCAGAACCACATATAATGGACCCGCAGAAATGCCTCAGGTCAGAAAATTACCATGACAAAATATTGTTTAGCAATTCAAGATCTTCATTTTTGGTACGTAAATGTCATTGGAAAAAATGGAGTAGTACCAATGAATTCACATACTGAAGGCATCATGTACCTGATAGGTTTGTTCAGTAGTTTGGATTGTGAGAGTCCATGGTATAGACTAATCCGGCAACAGATATTTTCTGAGGTGGCACCAGGCTCCTTGGACCAACATGCACGCGCACTGCACCTTGTCTTCCAGTATGCGGGCGAGTGTGGCACCACCGCTGTAAAAGCTTCTAATTCTGGTTGCCGGATGCACGTATATAGCCACAACAATATGGCGGTATTCTGTATTTACCCTAACCATGCGGTGATTTTCCGTTTCAGAAAAGTGCAAATTCCATTTTCCTGAATTCCTGAATTCCGTTTCAGGCTGAAAAATTCCGTTTCACATTTGTTCAATACATAAAAAGGCATTTAAACATATACCATGTACACAGTAAATAATTCCAAGACGATAATGAAATAGTCGTTTAATTGGAGCGCGAAAAAACTGCCCCAAAAGATTTTTATTTTATCAACGGCCGATCAATGTACAGGCCAATCCCATCAGCTGGCCGAAGCGAAATTCATGTCTGCCATTTTGTTTTCGGGCTAACGTTAGCGACAAAATAGGATAGTTTACGCATGGAGGAATAAGAACACACGGTAGATTTTGGACCTAAGCACAACATGCATTTCAATAGAGCCAAAGTTAGATGTTATACGAATGGTTGATTGATTGAACAGAAAAATAAACCTGCCGGTTGCGCTGACCGACAGCTACGGCATGCGTCGGGACTGTCACTCCCATGACTACGCGTACTACGGTAATGATCTCGTAACATTTATTGCTCTGATCTTGCACATTTTTGTCCCCCCAAAATCGTGATATAAACACCGCTCATTTGTTGTATGGCTCGTCTGTTCAATCAATCATCAATAATTCATTTTGTACTCAATAAATATAACGAAATTATGTTTTTTATCAATAAAATTGCAGAAATTATTTTCTTCAGATTCAAATTCCGTTTTCCGTTTCGAGTGCATCAGGTGGAAAAGAACTGGTGCACTTTGATGCATTCAGCTACCAACATCAGCGCAGGAATGGCCAGCTCTGAAACAATGAGAGCTAGTCCAATTGAACAATGCCACAGTATCCTGCTGCATGCGGTGACCACGGTCTCTGAGGCAGTGTGGCCTTGAGACTTTTCCCCTGATGGATCTTGCTACATTTGGCAGGCTTGTCACTTAGTCAAGTGTCGCATGTTGCTATGTTTGGCAGGGTTCTAGCAAACGTACCCTGGAGGGTAAGGGTTTTAATGTGTACGTTTTTGGGCAGACTATTACGTTATCAAAATGCAATAAGATACATATGTACAACTTTAAAGGCCTTGCTGGATGATTGTTAGTAAGCACAATGTTCACCTTCAAATATCAAGATATTAAAAGGAAAAATATCTTGCCAAGTTGTTTCTGCCACCTTTTATTAAAAGGGTTTTGCACACATCTGGCCAAATTTACGAGGAAGAAATTCCATACTGACGTTGGTCGGTAGTTCGCTATTTTAAAATTATCATTCGGTATCAAAAATATATTGTCACTTATACGGTATAATTAAAACGTAATAGTCCAAGCCTGGTACCTGATGTGCGTCCCCTGATGGTATGATGTACGCCTGGATAGGTTCCGAGCCAATGTACTGCTTGGCCTTCATCAAACTCCGCAGCTTCTGCAAGAGGGCGGTTGTATTCTTGGTCGTCATGGTGATTCACAGCCTCCAGTTGCTCCCAGGTGCAGTGCTGCTGAATTGGGGTCCACTGATTTTCTTCTCAAACACAAAATGGCTTTAGTTACTTTTAGGACCCCATTCCTAAAATACACTCACTTGTTCTTCACATCAGCGCTGGGCCCGTTTGTTATGACGACACTGCTTCTTCATTCAAACCAATCGGAACTTAAATGTGCCAACGAACAAACTGCAGTTCTCGGATTTGAACAGGAACTCACTCTTGCTTGCGAACCCTAAGTTAGCCTCCTTCCCAGGACTCTACTCAAAAATAGACCTGTCCCAAATACATGTACATGTATAGCTATATTCATGGGTCTATACTAAATCCAAACCATAGCCAAATGTTGAAAAAGGTATTGTATCATCAAGCAGTATCACGTTGAAACATTTTTTTCCTTTTCATATTATGTCATTATGTCGGCAGCACAATTGCAGAATACCCCGCCATTCAATCTATCCACCTCATAGCCGGCTACGGAGTCACGGTTGATTGCCCTCAAAGGCTCAATAAACCTTCTCAGCGCTACTTGTATACTATGCGTCATGCTCCACTGCACTCCCACTCCGTATCCGCGTAGCCGCCATCAGGGTAGTTGGTTTGGACTTAGAATTTTTTCAGCAACTCCCATTCCTTTTGTGCTGCTTCGTTCTCAAATAATGGACCCCCACTCGGTATCCGCGTAGCTGGCATGGACTTGAATTGTTTCTTTTCCAGTGATTCCAACCAGGTAGCCAGAGATTTAAGGGGTGTATTTCCGAGTGGCAGGGTATTCTGCAATTACTCCATGTCGGCTTGCATGTTATTTGGCCCTGAACTTTGTTGATTCCACACTGTTTTCAATTTCAATGGAACTCAATTTGGATTTGGTGCAGTGCACCCACAAAAGCCAAATGTTGATTTGGGCGCCCCCAACGGGTAAAGCAGTTCTGATGACTGCGTCCGGAAACTGGGCATGCTGGGACAACAGTCAACACAAAAATATATCAAAACACTGTCAAAATCGTAAACACAGACATAGTCACAGGTAACAGTTTTATCACCATAGCATAGTTTATTGCAACGGATAATCCACATTGACTATGATTACTGTAAAACCTTTTTAAACTTAAATCTAACACTTTATACTCACGTATCACACACCGACTGACGGCAACGCGACCGGACCAGCAGTACATAGCATGAGCCTAGTATCTGGACTAGTAGTGGTAACATGAGTTTGCGACTGGGAACCAGACTGATCAGAGGCGGTTTTCTCGTAGCAGAGGCGGGGCCACACAGTGACGAGGGGGGAGGAACTACTACGATAAGGGCGTGTGCGGTTATGCTTATGATTACTTTTACGGGTCTTGATATTACGGGAAATTGTACCATTTTAGGGTGATATTCCCATAGGGTTGTGTACAAAAAATTTCAACTTTAATAACTTCTAAAACCCCAATTGACCCTTATTCTACCTCCACTATTTGTATGTGTTGGACCACTCATTTGGATACAATTTACAGGATTCGATCTTTTCAACTATTGGCTTACAACTCATTTTTTCCCCAGGATCAAGCATCAGACTCTTCAGTTATCACAAAATATGGTAGATTTACCGTTGCTTTCTCCACCGTTGTCAATGTCGAATTTGTTGTGTTATAATTAGTTAGCCTGCTTATATATCTTCTGTATTTTTTTTATCGCAGTAGTTGAATATTTGTTACTTTGTATTACTTTTATCATTGTACATAATTTGTTCTATACCTAGTATTTTAGTTCTTGTGAAGCCCACTGGGGCCTCAGCGCTATATAGAATGCTTTATTATTTTTTCCATGGGAGCGCATAGTTAAAAAAAAAATCCCGGCGCGTTTCCGGGTCTCAACTTTAGACGAATTGGAGTTTGTTCCATATAATGCACAATTCTCAAGACTGGTTTTTATCATCTTGTTGGGAACGCCTTCTCATAGGCTCTCTACCAGTGGTCCGCGACGGTTTGTCCTCGCTTGCTTGCTTGCCGGTGATCGGGACGCGAGCTGCATCATCAGGGGAGCTCGGAGCAAAATCCAAATTCCGTCTTGGGACCAAGACTGGCAATTCTGTGCTGCCAATTGTGTATCACAGGAGGGGGCATTCAATGCGTTTTAAAGTGTATTAACGGAGCGAGGACCCTGCAGGCCGTTCAGGCTGATCCAAGACTGGTGAGGGGGGGGGGGGGGGTGGTCTTCATGTCCCAATGTGAAACTTGCGAGCACGAAACCTACGGCCCGGTGCAATCTGAGGTTCTGTGGTTCAATCGGAGGCATTATTAGCTGCGGCTGTTGGGTTACAACCGTGTAAATACAATGTAGGTCAAAAATCCATCCGCCGAGCTCCAGAATAAAAGTTATAGGGTCTTCACTCATATTTATTCTACATGTATGTTAGAGAGTTCTGAGAGCAATCATAAAATTGGGCGTTTGAATTAGATAAGGTGTAGCGTGAATATCCGACTCCATGAAATGTGGACTCATTGGTAGTAGTGCGCACGCGTGAGTACGATACTATGCTATTTTTAGGATCGTTTGGGGCGAGTGACCTGTCACGTGCGAGGGATCAACCAATAAAAGGGAAAAAGGGGTCCGATTTTCATAGGAGTCGGATTTTCATGTGACAACGGCAATGCAGGGCACCTCTGGCCCGGACTTGGGGCTTCCGAGTATTTTGGATGCAATTTGGCCGAAAGTATTTAGCCATGTTGTGGAGGGATCGTTTTTCTAGATGGCTACTTTTCCGCTTTGGGAAACCTCACTCGTTTCAGTGGTCGTCTTCTTTGGGTGCGAATTTCTCGACTGAAAAGTCAACGGTCAACCCAACAACTCCTTGTTTCTGGCAATAACATCAAGAAATATCAAATGTATTGTATCAACGGTCGTCCATTAATTTGTCATGATGTGTCACATTGCGAAATTTATTTTCATGAGAACTCGTCAAACAAGAAAAATAATTTAACCGATACAGTTTAGTGTGTTACACATGAAAAAAATACAATCCATGTCGTGGACGGGTCGGGGTTTTTTTTCAAGATGGCTACTCTTCCGCTTTGGAGAAACCTCACTCGTTTTAGGGGGGTAGTCTTCTTTGGGTGAGAATTTCTCGAAAATTCAATGGTCAACCCACCAAAAATTGAAAAGAAAATGAAAAATGACATGTTGATCATCATTTTTCTGTGCGGCACTAAACACCTGTTAGTGTTCTAAGTAGTTTTAAACGAATTTTGAAGTATGGGCATTTAGCAAAATCAAATCACATTTATTTCCTCTTCATGACAGAAATGAAAAAGTAATATAAGTACTTAAACATATAAAGGCCACTAGAGGTGGCAAAACCTTAAAAGCATAGCTTGTATCAGGCATGCCATTACACAAAACAGACGAATAATAACAGGAAAAAAAAGATAAAAACAAAGACCAATTACCGTAGTTAGCAAAGTTGTGAAAAAGTTAAAAAATAATATTAATAATTAATAATGGGCTACGAGTAGGATCGTCGTGCATACAGAGTCCATCGTCGTGCATACAGAGTAGCACTGGTGTCTATGGGAATTTTTATACTGCAGGAGTACACCCTAGCTGTTGGGCTTCATAAATGGCAAAATGTAGCCAGCGAGGGCAAGTTACCACACCTTTGCAATAATACAAGTACAGATCTAATAAAACCTAAGAATTTGGCAAAAACTGGCTAAATGCGCATGATCCTAATGGCAACACATGTACACAGTGACGACATCGATCATGAACAAATGCTAACGTGTGCAGCAACGAATTTTGTTTTTCAAGATTGCTAATCACAGGGCACTAGTGACCATTCATCTCCACGTTTACAAAGTCGCGGGGATATGAAATCAGTAGGTTACATGTAGTACATTTCATATAGGCTATACATTTACTAGTATAAGACGGTATACTATCCAACACAATGCTTTGAAAGTATGCTTTCAAAATTATTGAATATTGAAACAGAAATTACATTTTAATGCAGCAAAACACTCTTCCGTTCAGCCCAATGTAACAGGACCCAACCTCGTTCCCATGGTGTCGAGCAGTACGCCCACACTACTTGCTCTCTCGCTATTGAAAACGTGGTTGAAAATAAAGTACTCCCTTGGGACGAGGTTGAGCAGACTCCAAAAAAAGTTTCGGTTAAAACTAAAATTGAATTTTGGGTACACGTATCTAAAAAAAAGTATCTGAAAAAATTCCTGCAATTTGTCCCTATTCGTGTTTTACGTGGTCTTTACTGCCATTTCGACGCGTGCGCTTGCAACAGCAGCAATAACACGAAGTTATGACTAGCGCCATCATTGAAGCTGAGACCACAAACAGAAAGAGGTAGACGTCTAGAAGATTCCTCTGGATGTAACTGAGGTCATGGATGGCCGGTCGCAGGTGTTCACCGCCGAACTTGGTAACGTGTAGGATCCACTGGGCTGCCGTCTCCACAGGGGGAGAGGAGGTCTGAAGGTCCCGTAGAATCAGAGAGACGCGCCGGGCATTTTCACGATACCTGGATTTAGCACAATAACATCCGAGGAATGTTAGCTTTACAGTCATGAACAAAACCCCAGTTCAACGAAGATTGTGAATCATGAGTCTCTCCCAAATTTAGAATGGTTGATTTGACAAAAAAAATCACACATACACACACATCTGCGCCAGTATGAGGACCCTCCATTGTTCCCTTCTTTTGTTCCCTTTGTTTGTACTTTAACTTGTCCTCAACAGCTCCCATAAGGTTTGTACACGAAATTCTCCGGCTGAGGACTAGTACCCAGGTCCTTGGGCCCATTGTTATCACACACGCCCCATCGTCCTAAGTCCTCAGTCGTATAGGATAACCTGTACACACACGCATTCCATTCAGCCAAAACCGGACAAAGCGTTTTGGTAGAGAAAGCAGTCCGGGCCTAACCGACGGTTCACCGATCTTGGTAATCTGTCCCAACCTTTCGACTCAAGTTTGTCTCAATTGTGCTGAGGGGACATTTTCTGAAATAAAAATGCATTTTTAAACAGCTTTCATTGGAATTTCGTCGGAGTTGAACAAAGTTGATTGGGGGAGGAGGTGGGACGAGCGCCCCCATTCGTCCGAGACTCTATCTGATTACCGATCTTCAAATTACTTTTTTCACTTCAATGACTAAATTTTCACGGGTTCCCCTTCCTATCACAAACTCTCGAATTGTTCTATACAAAAAGAAGCCTCACTTTGGTTCACTGACGACCTCGTGGATGGCTTGGCTCAAAATCTCGGGTGTCAAGGTGGTGATATCGAGCGATAACCCGGCTCCACGGTTCACTATCCGGTCAATGTTGCCCATCTGATCTTCCTGCAGCGGTATGCCCACCAAGGGCAGTCCGGCCCACATCGCCTCGTACGTACCGTAGGCACCGCATTGACTCACAAATACCTTGACGCTGGGGTGTTCTGTTTTTAAAACAAAATGAAACATTTTTAAAAACAAACTGAACTTACAACGAAAAATACTTTAAAAGAGTGACTATATATACGTTGCTGAATATACAAATTTAATAAAAACAAATTGTCGACCAAAATCTAGGAATGAATGGGGATGGAATGGAATAGATTTTTTTTGGGGGGGGGGGGATGGGGTCTAATTCAGGCTGTTCTTTTATTGTAACTACTCGACCCACCCATAACTGTTGGTAGAGGCAGCCACTTTACAAGTTTGGTGTTTTGCCCCAGCTGCAGCTTCGGTGGCGTACTGGTCTGCCAGAGAACCCGATACGGTAGCATGGCGAAGCCGTCAGCAAACATCTGTGCCTGTTCGCTTCGCATAGAACGAGCAAAGGTTCCGAAGGAGAAGAGAACGATGCCGTCGGTGGCTGCACCTAGAAACTCCGCGACGTCGTCTTCGATCTGTCAATTTGTAAAGGGATCCAAACGAGTTGGTCTATGGTCCAACTCAACTTTGTGTTCACAAGTTCGCACGTGCTTCATATTCATTTCCGCTATAACATTAATTTCGCCATATCATTCTCGTCGTTTCTACAAAAAGGCTATTAGGTAGAAAAGCTATATTGCCTAAAAAAAATCGATTCGAGAAGCCGCAACTTCACATCTCAAACTTCGCGTGCAAAGTGGGACGGCTATAAAACTACAAGCATGCATTTGAAACAATTTTACTTCAAACCTTTGCTAAAAGCTTATCTTGCATTTTTTTACCCAAGCGAAGATGCACGCACCGTCTGATTGGAGCTGAGTCCGGGAGTGTGGAGTACATGGACGGTGTTGGGCAGCAGGGGACGGGGGAACTCCAGAGCGAAGCTTCCGTGCAACAGCAGCAGCAACGCCTGCTTGTGCGACTCGAAGGTGCTGATGTCCGGCCTGATGTTGTACTTGATTTTCAGTGCATCGTAACTATCGAAGTTAGCCAGGCCCAGACGATAATGATAAAACCCGTAGTAGGTGTGGGCTAGGACGTTTTGGACTCGCTGGAAGAATGTCATTCTGTCCGTGAAACCAAGGGAGCGCTCTGGGATGTAGGAAGGGTCAATTGGTAAACCAGTCCTACGGCATGAAAAGTGAAGAAAAGGTGATGTTCATTCAAATGCACCGTCCATACTCTCTAATAAATATATAACTTGTATGATTAGTTTTAGTAATTTTATTGGGGCGTCTGCAACTTAAAAGTTTTTTTTTAATTGGGGTATTGCTTTTGCGTACAAACAGATCCTTCCTGCGAGTCGACTCGACAGGTACCCGGACTCCGCGGATAATCGATTCTAAAATTGACGGGACATAGCCTATCCCGTGAGAACTGAATTGAAAAGTAATAATTAGCTAATTCTATTAATAACCTAGGCCGATTTTTTTTTCAGTTTGCTATCTCATTCAGAAGTTATTTGCTTATATATGAGACATCGAACGAACACTTTGTCAATAGAAGTAAATATATGTATTTCATATTTTAAATAAATAAATAAAGTTATTGGTTACTGCTACAAGTTTCAGACTGGCCAGAGTCGAGGGTTAATCCTGCATATCGAAGCTTTAAATTAAGTTCAACTTAACACAATTTGGATTTTTTTTTTAAGCTCTGGCATGAGCTTCTACATGTCACATGGTGGTCGGTCGGTCGGTCGGTCGGTCTGTCTGTCCCCAAAAATTGACCAACAATATTTGACCAAAAATTGAGGAAATGCTATGCCGTCGTCAGTAAATGCACTCTTGACGAAAGTTTTCGGAACACGGGCTTTGTCTCGATCGATGTGCATGCGCGTCTATTTTGCATATGTCTGTCGTATGTCCCCGAAAAATTTACCAAAACGAGCCCTTAAGTTTCCCAGAAAATTATTACCAAATTTTATTTTTCACATTTTTTTTAATACTCAACAAAAATGTTTGTTACAAGTTGTTCAGGAAAATCGTGTGAAATGGAGGCAAAATATGTGCACTAATGTTATAGTCACGTGCTTTTTTCTGTAGTGGTTGGACGGTATCCAGAAGGAGGAAATGAAAATTTACCAAAAGTATGGTGCTCCATTTGTGCCGTCGGCGTCGCATTTTTCGCCAGAGCTTATTGTGCACTCGCACTTGTTTTCTTTGTATCAAGTGTTGGCGTGGTTATATGTTTATTAATAGTTTTCAGGACTTACCACGGACCGTGTTTTGTAGGCACCACGGACATAAAACTGTTTAAGACAAACGGGATTTCCAAAGCCTGTGCCAGTAGCGGGCTGCAGGGTACGGTGTCGTCAGCAACCAGCATGTCGAATCTCTCTTCACGGAGTATGTCCATGGTCTTCGCATCGCCCAGCAGAACGTCGCACTCACGCAGCCACATCTCTGCAACGCCAGACAGGTCATTCCACACACCCGAGATAACCGGGCCAAAGACAGGCGCAAGGGCACCCGTCACGAGCACGGCGGAGACGCTCTCCATCACCTCTGCCCTGTCGCGTTTGGTGTAGGACGAGCTGAAGACCACGAACGAGAAGAGATCACCGTCTTTTTGCCAGTCGATGGTGTTGGAACTGCTGATCAGGGAGACAACCTTGTGGCCGTGTCGTCTCACCAATTCCCTGCCTGACTTGCAGAGGGCCGAATAGTGACTGCCGCCAATGATGGAGCCGAAATACAAAAACTTGAACTTCTCTGAGGGTGATTCCGCCGGAGAGTCTTTCGCATCGGAACCACCCATGGCGGATATCACCTCGAGGGATGTAAGGAGTAAACAAAGGAATGTAACTAGTCTGGAAGACATTTTGTTCCCTTTTATATTACTGAGCAGAAGACAACACAACGTTACGATGCCGTCGCGTCACTCACTGTTATGACTAAACAAAATCATATGGCGTTGTGCATGATTATCTCACACCATAGGCCTACATAGTACATTTATCCGCCCATTATATTTTTGTGCACTTTGCCTGTACGAGATCACACACGAAGGGTACAAAGGTATGCAGCGCCAGATGAGCATATTAATTAACGCTATTCGGTAAGTTCAGTCGTACAAGTTAGCAACGGTCCACTGACGACTCGATAAATCGTAAACCAGGTAGAAAAACCGTGGCACACACCAAAAACACCACATAACCTATCAAATTAGTCTGAATACAGCCTCATAACCGCTCAAGGCGGATTAAGAGTCTGAGATCTCAAGGATGATCGTTGACCAAAACTGACCTGAGGGTTAACTTAATTCAAAGGGTGCTTGGTGCGTTCGTTTAGCTCATACATATCGACTCGTGTTAGCCCCGTGCCGTTCGATTTAGTACTGACGTCATTCTCGAAACGGGCGTTTAAACATTTCACGTGCCAAACCTGTTTGTCCACGGACGGCTTTATTCCATCCGCTTGACTGAGCTCCGGAGCTGAATTTGAAGACCAAAAAACACTACACTAGACGTGCACTTGGACAATAGCGATTTTGGTGACTTGTGTTCAATTAGTATAATAATACTATTCTAGCGATTGTTTTTTTAAAGATTTTTTTCACCATGATACTTGTATGGTTAAAGAGCTATACATCACTACAAAATTGCTACATTTTATAAAATAACAGTTAAAATAATTCAAGTAAGCACCATAGCCTACACCATCGCCTACCCCCTCCCATATTTGTAAAGAGTGCCCTTCTTTTGTTAACAGGTACCTTTTTTTTTCTGAACAAGTGCCCTTAAAACAAGTCTTGCCTTTTGTTGTGCCATCTACCGTTACGGGTGCCCTTTTCTTTTTATTTCGCGACATATATTGTCTGTTAGTGTGCATAATCGTCGGATTTGAACAGCGCCCCAACACATTTTCTCGAGGGGGACCAAGCTCAAGAGGGCTCCTTCTTTTCCAAAAAGGGGAAGGGGATTAAGTACCGATATATAGTATTATGCAGTGTTGTAGGTCTCGAGACGGGTCTTGGGATCACTTTTTACTGGTCTCGGTCTCGGGAGCTGTGGTCTCGGTCTTGGTCTCGGTCTCAGTCCCCTTTGGTCTCGATATTTTGGCTGGTCTCGGGTCGAGACCGGCAATATTTAGCATTTACAGCTCGATCGATTACTTTGTGTTCACTTCGTTCAGTACCGTTGATAGTTAATACATTTGCTAGCCCGTAGTTCATGTTGTCCAGCTTGTTAACGTATCGTTATATATGATTTGGACTGCATGTTGGAAAGTCCCCAGTTGTTGGTCTATAAATGTACAAGTCCATATTCCATGACGGAAATTTGAAAAATAGTTCAACATTTTCTAGCTCCCAATTTTTTTTAAAAATCAAGTACACAAGTCTTAGTAGAAGTTAAGTCCTATATTTATTTTAGAAAAACAGAGGCCCAATGTAAAATTAAAATTGCATCTTTTATATCCGTTAGAAGTCATAGCTGAAACCAAGGGGTGACTGTGGAGTTTAGGATCCGAGTTCCTATAACATATGAAACATCTACCTTTAACTTTTTACTTTTGTCAAGATTGGGTGCAGACAACATATCAAAGCCCATGTTTCTTAAGTGTAACTACTTCTTGCTCAAGTAAGATGTAATGTATCAATTTGTCAACACTGCCACTGGTCAAAAATCTGTCTGTAATCTTCGTGAATAGAAAGGTTACAACTTACAACTTTAATTATGTGTCTTGTATTTTATTTAGATTATTGTTATATATTATCAGCGGTCTCGGTCTCGGTCTCGGACTATCCGGTCTCGGTCTCGGTCCGCCTTGAAGGGGCTGGTCTCGGTCTCGAAACTTCAGATCTCGGTCTTGGTCTCGGTCTCGGACTATCCGGTCTCGACTACAACACTGGTATTATGCGTTATTTCCACATTGTAATATTAAAACTAAAAAGGTATGCGTAGCTGATGGCTTGCGAGTGAGATTTGCAATGTTTTAATTTATTGATGAAGATTTATGACAAAAAGGAGTCTTCACTCCTCCGATTATCATAACCGAAATATTACCGCTGTCAGGTGAATTATTAAAAAAAATTCGCGTGCTTCGTGAGGGTCAACATGGGTCACAGATGTTTTCGTTTACAACTTATGGAAAATGTACACGAGGAGAAATCCGATATGCATACATTAAGTGAAATGAACTATTTTAATTATCTTAAGCCTGAAAACTAGAAAGTATTGTAAACTCGATGAGAAATTACGGATTTAAAACGGTCGTGAATTTTAAACGATTCATTTAAAACGGAAAATAACACCTGACGATTTTACGTCATTTTGCCCACAATATCATATTCCCAACAACAAGGTATAATGTTTAACAACGATTAATCATAAAGCAAATAGAATCACATCGTATGACTAATTGAACTTTGAATGTCTCCACCTCATAACCCGCTAAAAAAAAGAGTTCATAACAGAGACTGAAAGGGTGCACTGGTACCCGACAGACTGACAAGTTAATACGTGAAAGACGCAAGGATAGGCGTCTACCCGCGGTTACCAGCTGAGAGGTGAAGGATGATAATGCGCGTATACTATTCTGGGCTGTGGTCATAAAAGTGAGCCCTCTGACAACTACCTATAGTTGCCGGTAAGTGGAACATGTTTTTTTTTTTTTTTTTTTTTTTTAATTGAGTACGATTAGTTGATGAACAGAACTGAATAATTAGGTAAATGTGCGATATTGGAATTGTCTTCTGCACCCGTGAAGGTTTTGCCATAGTTGGGCACCACTGAATGTGGTGTTATAGGGGGTGTTTTGATGGAATAAATAATTTTCTCGATGAATGAATGGGAGGTTTGCGTTAACAGCATCTGAATGACAGATATCTCTTGGTGAGTTGTGTGGTTCTGAGAAGAACCAGTTGGTTTTAACTCGACGTTTCGAACAGTGTGCTCTGCTCGTCATCTGGAGACTGCTGGACTCTTGCTGGTGTAGTGTAGTGTAGTACAGCTGTGGTGAGCATCAAGCCGAGTGCCAAGGGTTCAACATTTTCTTGTGTCTGGCAGTTGTGTGTGTTCAGGAGGGGGGATGGGTAGGGGTTGGGGTCGGTGATGTGCATAAGGACTACCTCCAATGCTGTGGCGATAAGTCCTTATGATCTGAATACAGACCATAAAGGACATAACCGCTCTGAATGAGTGGAAGACAAAAAGTGCCTTTAATTTTGAAAAACGTAAGCATCTTAACCACAAATGAACCCCGAGTACCCCTCCCCGTGGCAAACAGTTATGCCAGCTCGAGGTTTTGTCATCTTCCCCCTACTTTTCTAACCACTCCCATTTTTGTGTTTGTGTAGGAAACGAATATCTCAGCTATTTCCATCTTCCCACCTGCAAGTTTTCCACCTGCTGAGCATTCTCCCCAGATCGCCATGGCAACGCAAAAGCGAGTCCTCGTGTGGAGTACGCCGCGATCTTTGTCCACCGTCCTCATGAGGGCGCTGTCACAGCTCCCGGATTCGCTGATCATACACGAGTTCCTGTTGTTGGCGGGTTGGAACGAGGTGGGCCTGCCGGACTGTCCCGGCGACTGGAAGGCAAACTTAAGCGACATGGACACGGAACCAGGTTTCAATATCAAGTCATGGAAGGAGATGTACGAGCAGCCGTACCCTGGCAAATCCTTCATTCTCGGGAAAGAAATCTGCGACGGGATGATAGGACGGATCATGGAGATGATACCCGAAGGCTACACCCACGTCTTCCTGATGCGCCACCCTTCCAAATCAATCACTTCTCTCGACAAAGCACTCTCGTATTTCCCGGATGATGTAGTAAGATTGTCCATGCAGAAGCCCAGTTTCAAAGCCCTGGCTGATATATATGACTATGTCACCACGACACTCGGTCAGCAAGCACCCGTGGTGTTGGACGCCGCCGACCTTCTTGCAAAACCCGCGGAGGCCTTGCGGCTGCTGTGCGAAGCCACTGGGATGCCTTTCAGCCAAGACCTATTCCATTGGGATCAGCTCATAGGCGAACCACCCTCCAACTGGTTAATGCCAAAGATGATGTGGAGCAACAACAAGGATGTCGGGCTCTTCAATTCTGCCTTTCAGAGCACCTGTTTCCACTCCAACCAGGCAACCTCGGGCGCTGCAAAGGAGAAAGACGCCATCAAACCAGAACTCCAACAACTGATCCAAGATGCTTTGCCGTATTACAACTACCTGTACGAACATCGCTTAATTATTCCAGACTAGGAAAAGAACAAGTATACGAGTACACAATAAGCTCTGGCAGTGTTAGACTCAAGCGTACAAACTAGCTGGGGGTGTAAACAAAATATAATCTAGCATGAAAGTCTTGCATGAAATCAATCATAATTAATGATCCCTGCCAGAGAAAATGCGACGCCGAAAAATGCGACGCTGATGGCACATAATTATAAAACACCATACTTTTGGTAAATTTTCGGGACAGACAGACAGACAGACAGACAGACAGACAGACAGACAGACAGACAGACAGACAGACCATCCGACCGACTGACCACCAAGTGACATGTAGAAGCTCCTGCCAGAGCTTAAAAACGATAGTTAGAATTTTCAGGGGAGTTGGGATGGGAAACTGAATATGTTTTTATATTCGCTATTAAAATCACTTTTTTTATGTGAAGGAAGGGCCTGTATGAATACCGCTCGTGCATTAAATCGCAGAGCAAACAGCAAATACTGTCGAAAAAATTCAGTGAATATAATTGGAACATGTTTGCAATTTAAAGGACATTAATTTAAAGTTTGTGCACAAGGGGTGAATTCATCGTGACTGTACTCCATTTTGTGAACAAAAGAGGGCGCCATTTTGTGAAGAACACTTCGCTGGTTTGCGACTTTGCGTGCGCTCTTCTTGTTATAATAGTTGCAGACAAGTGGCGCGCCCAATGTTTTTTCCTTTAGTCCCACCATTTGACCTTGGTGGTATGTATGTGGCCTATTTTCGAGTAGTATATAATAGGGATGTAAGTGGCGCTACCAACGTCAAAAAAGTCCGCCCCCCGAAAAAAAAAATGTGAGCCCCCCCCCCCAAAGCAAAATCTTGGGATAGACCCCATAGTCCGCGAGCTAGGCGGAGTTGAACAATTTGAGCACAAAATGGCGGTGGGGGTGGTGCTGGAATGGTAATTCTTAAGTTGCTCTGGGTCGGATGTGGGTCAGGGGAACCCTGTCAAAAACTTTTGAGTTTTATTAACATGTCGCGCACAAGTGCCGTTTTTTTTTTAATAAAAGTGTTGAGATTCACCCCATGATGGCAACAATGGTGCTAAAGATTGAAATAAAGTCGGATAAAGTTGATCTAAGAATGATTTAAAGATTATATTTATTCCATATACAATTATACATTGTTTACAATAAATGGCACACGTACATTGTGTGTAATATAGTGGAGCTATATATATATAGGCTTATTATATTTTGTACAAATTGTGCACACATTGTGGTAAAAAGCATGAAACTTTATATGCAGAGCCGAGATAGTCTAAGAATCATTTTAGGAGGTGGGCCCACCTTGGATCCTGCCGATTTGGGATGCATGCAAAGAATAAAACTCAGAAGAACTGTATTTAACATTAATCATATTTTTTTCTTCTTTTTTCCATTTTTTGAAATGAACTTGGGCAGGAGATAAAACATTCCAGCATTTTCGATTGTCATATTTTCCGCCCATTTTGTGGGCGTGGCTACATTTATGAAGGGGTTGTTTATAATAGTGGTTTATCCCATTTTGAAGTTGACATTGGATTAACATTTCGAGACGGATCCATTCTGGAAATTGCCCACTTGAGGGGCGGAGCTTTATTTTAAAACGGGTGCACAAAATGCAGAAAAATTGTATTTGTTGCATTCATTGTTCTTTATGCTTTCAAATAAGCTTACACATGAAAATCTTCCAATGTTAAAACACTTGTTATTGTCACCCATTTGGTGGGCGTGACCTATACTAGCCGGTGTAATGAAGCAGCTTGATTCACAATAATGAGGCCCAAATCGTCATTTTGGGGGTCAAAACACAAATTCTGTATTCGTTAACTATATTTTTACCTTACACTGTAATATCATTTAATTTCTTCCGATAATTTTTTTTTCTATTTTCAAAGTTGCATTAAATCGTCATTTGAGAAATTTCGCTCGGGAACAAATTCGGCCTAAGTAAATTACTTTATATGAAATATCAGCAATACAATAAAGGCGACCTATATTTAACATATAATTACAACGATTGTTTACAAGATTTACCAGCAATAATTTCCATTTACGCGTGCATAATAATTAGTCCTTTTTTAGATGGTTTTTCCCTGCCCTGCCGCACATGCATCTGCAGCAGTAGTAACACAATGAAAGGTTTACCCATACGATCAAAGCCAAGACGGCCAAAATGAAGAGGTAGACATCTATGAGATTCCTCTGGATGTAATTCAGGTCTTGGACGGCCGGTCGTAGATGATCACCGCCGAACTTGGTGACGTGGAGGATCCAGTGGGCTGCCGTCTTCACTGGGGGCGACATGGTCTGCAGGTCTCGCATTATCAGGGATAGACGCCGTGCGTTGGTACGGAATCTTTTCAGCAAAGAGAAGAGTGACACTGTTGGGTAATATTAAAACAATTCGAAGGAAATAGCCATGCAATTTTGGTTTTGGGCTAGGCTGGGGAAGATATATTTCCCACCTTTTTTATCAGGGAATGGGCCAGATGCCCCAGATTTCTTTCTGCTGAAGTAAACAAAAATCTCAATCATAACCTCGATCTCAATCATGATGTCCTCCACTCAAAATGACCACAAAAAGCAGCAAACGCATATTTCATAATTGGTGGCTCGAACTGACTTGGATTGGGACCGAGTTGACTCGAAACTAACTCAGTCGGGGTCAACTCGGTCCCAAGTGAACTCGGTCCCAGGTGCCAAACAAAATAGGTGGAGAACATTTCTGCAATTTGATTCACAGAACGTTGTCCGTCTTTTTTTGTGTATGTATTTTCCCTGGTTAACCTTTTGATGTACTTATTTTGGTTTAATCATTGATTTCGAGGTTATACCGATTGTACCGCTCTTACTTGAAGCAGCGTGTTTCCCCGCCAGCGGCTGCCGCAGCAAGTCGCTCGTTCCCCGCTGTACTAGCGCCACATACACAGTCTCGCGCGCCGTATATGCTTAGTACCGTGCGATTATGACCATCGTGACAAGCGTTTTGCATACTTAAATTCTCCGTTATTTTTAAGAATCATCGACCTGAAATATAGTTTAGATTAATTAAGACTTGATATTATCATATTTGAGGGTCATTTTCGATAGCTTTAGTGGCGCAAATTAAAATAAATCAGACCCAAAATACACAATACTATATGTTTTCTATAGCGATCGCGGTGCGGCGACCCCCACTCAACCCCACAATGCACTTCGGTCATTGCGTGACGTAATTAGTACAGAGGTTTATTAGTTCTGTATGCTAAAATACGTTGGGTTTTTCGTTAGGTTATCAACGAGTGCGCCTGAGCTTTGAAATTTTGTGAATCAGGTGTTTATTTAGTCTAGTAACAACGCCCCAGGAACGCAGCTCTGTGCGATACAGATTTCACGGTTCAAAGGGACACGGATCAGCGTCCCAGTTAACGCTCATTAGTAGATGGATCGTCCGGAGATGGAATATTAACTCAGGCGCACAGCATAGGCGTAGCCAGCGGGAGGGGGGGGGGGGTATTTACCCCCCCCCCCCAATATTTTGTAAAGACTGGCCTTAGTTTCCATTCAAATGCCCTTCTTTTCACCAGCGCTTACCCCCCGCCCGCCCGCCCCCCCACCATATTTGTAAAGAGTGGCCTTCTTCTGTACGATGCCCTTTTTTTCTGAACAAGTGCCCTTTTTTGAAGGGCACAAAAAGAAGGGCGAACAAAAAATCGTGCCCTTTTTTCGCGCATGTACTGCCCTGAAAAAACACCCTATTTTGTCCGTAAGTGTGCATAATCGTCGATTTTGAACAGCGCCCCTATTGATAGATGGTACCTGGCCCCCCCCCCCCCCCCCCCCCCCCCCCCCCCCCCCCCCCCCCCCCCCCCCCCCCCACCACACACACACACACACACACACACACACTTTTTGATTTTACGGAGGCAAAGACCGGAGAAAAAAAAAAGTGTCTTCATTTTGGCACGGATGTGCAAGTGCCCTCAAAAAATTACCCCCAATCCAAACGACCTTGCTATGCCACCGCATAAGCACACATTAAAATGTTTACCATTGTCCTTGACTTTTGAGCGTCAATTTTGGAATCTCAAAAATAGGTCGAACATGAATGCCGTCTCCCATTCCCTTTCAAAACGTTGTTTGCTTTGTTCATTACTTTATCTGTATGGACGCAATTAATGACCATTAAAGTCTCTGAATCGTCCGAGCTTCACGTAATCATACCAAGCTTCCTTCACCACGTGACCACCGAATAGCGCCCTGCACATGAAGCAGCATTGCAAGGGCTTTATCTGCAATCAAGTGTAGTAAATTAACAATGGCAAACACCAGCGGTTATCGGAATCTTATAGATCTCCCATGCACTTGTGAGACACACAGACTCTGTGTGGGCCCCATTATCTGCAACTCAGTATCAAACCATGATTGATCATTTAAAACCCTGAATTATTCTACGTTTTTCCTTCCTTTCTAATAATGAAACCAAGGGTTCCCCAAAAGTGCCCTGTAGGCACTGTAGCTCGCAAGCCTGACGAAACCTGTAGAGAGGAGACGGTGAGGAGAAATTACAATTTTAGAGGTGGGAGAAAAACCCCTGAAGAATACTCTGGGGAAAACCCACGGAATCAGGTAGGGACTGGAAATCAAATCCACATTGTGGTCCGGGCAGGAATCGAGCCCGGGCCATAGCGGTGGAGGGCGAGGAAAGTAACCACTGCGCCAACTTGACTCCCATAAGACAGGCGGTGGAGACTGAAGCTTGAGACGACATCGAGCTTTGGAAAGTAACCCATAGGCCTATAGTGGGGCAATAGGGAAAAAATTTGGGGGAATCGTGCCTTTGATGATACAAGAATGATATTTGGTAAACAGTCAGAGTATGTCTTAAGAAAGGTATTTGGTTATGGGGGCTATCGCAGATTTGTCTTTTGAAAAAATAAAGGTGGAATAACAACCAATTTTCAAAATTTTCAAAATGGCTGCATGCCATTGCTTGTTTTTCTACCTATAGCCAAATATCTTTCTCGTGACATACTCTGACTGTGTGCCAAATGCCATGCTCGTATAGTCAAAGGCACAATTCCATCATATATCTGCCCTACTAATATTACTCTTTTTTATGTAGCATGTTTATTGCTACTGACCATCAAGGCGTACTGGAAGATAATTACTGTATTTACGCAAGGCCATAACAAAAGGTCGTTGCGTCATGCATAAATTCATGGAATAATGTATTAGGGACCTAATGATGTATTTTCCTTTTACCCGTATGTTTCAGTATTTTTCTTTTACCCGTAATGTTTCATACAAAGGGCAGACGATTTTGTCGGCGATTTTTCGACAGACTTTGTTGCCCTTGAACTAAAAGAAGGAGGAGCCTTACTTTGGATCGGTGATGACATTGTGGATGGTCTGGTTCAAAACATCGGGTGTGATAGTGGTGATGTCAAGCCGCAGGCCGACCCCACGGTCTTCGAGCCGGTCCAGATTGTCCATCTGATCTCCGAAGAACGGTAGGCCCACCATGGGCAGTCCGGCCCACAACGCCTCGTACATGCTGAAGCCTCCACCGTGACTCACTAACACTTTAACGTTCGGATGTTCTGGACAAGGTGTGATGACAAAAAGTTGTAGTCTAGGTTATCGCAGTCAATGACATTTCAATAACAACAACTTCCCTCGCCAAAGGCACGCCTGTTGGCAAAGGCTGATTTAACAGTTGGTGAGGGCAGATACAAATAACTCCACTTGGAGCACGCTATATCACTGTACACTAACGGAGGACCTCATCAATGGCGACAACATCCTGCCAGTTTTTGTTCCGATAATTTGTCATTGGCCGCGGCTAGGTGCTTTGTACAGTGTGCATCGAAAAAATGCAAACAACATTATAACGGAATGCCAGACGTGGAATGGTTTGAAAGATACGCCTTTCCACTTCAAAATGAGACATCAGACGTCCAAATCGGATAATGTTTGACAGAGCTATGAGTAATTTTCCAAAAGAGGTCAAATTGATCATGGGACCAAGTTTTCAATTGTAGGCATTGGAGCAAAGGTTTTCTTATTGCCTCCGTACTTGCCTGGCCTACAACAAATGTGTTTAGGAAGTAAGCACAATTCTAAACACTTTCTTGCTGTCACCTCATGCTGAAAATGTTAAGCATGTAAACATGTTTACAAACTGATAGCAAGAAAGTGTTTGGAATTGTGCGTACTCGCTTAACACAATTTTGTTGTCGGCCAGGCAATTTTCCCCACAGAGGCAATTAGGCTGCCTTCATCCTAATGCCTAAAATTGAAAACTTGGTCCCATTGGAAAATTACTCATAACTCTGTCAAACAATATCAGATTTGGACGTCTGATGTCTCATTTTAAAGTGGAAAGGGGTATCTTGCAAACAAAACATATGTTTTGGTTACACATTCCACGCCTGGCATTCCGTTATATTTTATTTGAATTTTGTTTTGATACACACTGTACAAAATAGCTTGAACTATGCTTTCACGATTGAAGGGGGCAGCCATGACGGCGTCCTTGGAATGGTCTATAGCGAGAGTTGCAAACCGAGGGTAACCTTTCCTACGTGGTCTCTGGACGCCATTTTGGGGCCAAGGATAGACTGTTCGTTTACAAGTTCACACACATGAGTTAGGGGTTGGGTAAAGGCTTGCCGGAGGCTCACCCTGCTATAGGGAGTCGGGTACGGGGCGATGGCCCCGAAAATGATTGAAATCAACGTTTATTTTATTCTCGAATTGCCAGTGCAGGAGAAAGCAAGGAACTTCGGTATTCCAGTTATTATTTTGGCCTCATTTTATTAGTATCATAACATAAGTCAGCGGCTGAGCTGGGAGGGGGGGGGGGCGATCCGTCATTAATGTGAACCACCTACCCATGACCTGCGACATTGGCAGCCACCGGACGACTTTAGTGTTGACTGCCAGCCGGACGCCGGCGGGTAAAGGAGCTGAGGTCTGCCACAGCACCCGGACTGGTAGCAAGGCCAAGCCGTCGGCAAGGACTTGGGCTTTTTCTCGCTCCATACTTCCAACGTGTGTGCCTAGTGAGAACAAAGCCACGCCGCTGGGAGCTGTGTCCAGAAACTCAGCCACATCGGCTTCGATCTGATTAGGAGGAGGAGGAAAAAGGAGAAAACTGTGCTTTCTTTTAATTGATTTTGTTCCTGATTGCGCCATGAACTACGGTTACAGAGGTTATACAAACAATAATGCACCTGACCAAGGGCGGATCCGGGGGGGGGGGTGTCAACGGGGGCCATGTCCCCCCAAAACGAACGCTTTTTTTTTTTAAAGTGACGTCGCAATAGAGGCAGGAGCTGCTTACGTACACCACAATCTTTTCCTTTAAAAAAAGGGACAAAGTGACAAAAAATTACCTCAGATCGCACCACAGGGCATCTAGTATTCAAACAACTTTCCGGGGGCCTTAAGCGGGCCGCGAACCCCATGCCGTAATTTCTTGACCCACTTTTTGGGGGACCAACATTTTTTGGGGGCCCCACCCCCCCCCCAAAAAAAAATAATGTGTTCTGGATCCGCCCTTGCACGTGACACATTAGGAGGTCCATTTTGTTATAAGTCACTGACAATATAGAGATTATTTATTATGAAGACACTTTCCCACTCTTTTTGAATTTGTGGTTTTCATTTTGAATGTCCTGGTAATATAAAGGTATAGGAAGGAAGCTAACATGAAAATGTTGTCCAATTATAGAAAAGCACATGCAGAAAAAGTTAAACTATTATTTGAAAAAAAAGTCGGTATATATACCGTCAGACTCTCTAAAACGCACGTGGTCCTATTTCGACGCACTTCATTCAATGACAACGCACGCGCGTTGCAAGCGTTACCCGCGCCGATTATGGTGACTCCAGGATATAGTATAAAGACTATAAAACTAGTGGTGGTACGATAAGACACTCGCGTGGTGTGTCGGTGTTGTCGCAGGCCTGCCGGCGATAGAGCAAATGCCGTGAACTCAATACGGCAACATAGCTTTGTCGTGACTTTAGAACATACACGATTGTGCTATTAGGCTATACATAAACATTTAAGCTCGAACTGCGCATGATTTTCAAAAAAAGGTTATAGGTAATATCAAATGTAAAGGAAAAGATTATTCGTTGCAGTACTTTACCGTTTTATTTGGAGCCGAACCGGCTGTGAACAGAACGTAAATAGTATTTGGCTGCATGGGTCGCGGGAACTCCAAGGCGAAGCTCCCATCGAACATATAGAGAGACGCTTGCTTGTTGGATTCATAGGTGCCGAGCTCAGGTCGGATGTTGTACTTGACTTTCAACTGGTCGAAGCGTCTGAAGTCGAAAATCATGAACCACCAGAATTTGTAGAAGGTGTGTGCCAGGACGTTTTGCACACGCTGGAGGAATGTCATTCTGTCTGTGAGACCGAGCACACGCTCCGGGATGTAGGAGGGATCGATTGGTAACCCCGCCCTTAAAGACAATTGTAAGATAGAGAAAACAAATCGGTTGGTGCTCTATTGCTTAAAGATGTGTTAGTATCCGTATCTTATCCGGAGTTCTTATTCACACTGAAGAAAGTTGAGCAATTTTGTTAGTAAAAGTGTTAAGAATTTGCCCAACAGTGAAGGCTGTATAAAATTTTATTTTTTACTCACGTTGGCTCAGAAGGTCAGCAACAGTTGCTATTGTTTTCTTCTTTTTTTACGGGATGTACTTACCACATGCCGTGTTCGCAGGGAACTGCGTGGCCAGCACAGTTGTAGATGAAGGGAATGTTTAGAGCCTGTGCCAGGAGCGGAATGCACGGGATGAAGTCATCAGCAACCAGCATGTCGAATTTCTCTTCCCGGAGCCTCTTCATGGTTGCCGCATCTCCCAACAGATCGTCGCACTCGCGTAGCCACATGTCCCCGGTGCTTAGCTCATCGGGGATGTCGCCCCTGACGCCTGCGATCAGCGGACCCCAGAAGGTCGTCACGACGCCCGTGGCGAACAGCTTGCCGAGATGGGCCATGACGTCGGCCCGATGGTGCGGCGTGACGGACGAGGTGTATACCACCGTGGTGAAGATGTCGGCGTCGGCCGTGTGCATCTGGGGAGGGCTGGAGCTGCTGAACAGCGACACCACCCTGTGACCCTGTCTCATTAGCTCCTTACCAGACATGGACAGAGATGGATAATGACTGCCACCAATCATGGAAACGAAGTACAAAAATGTGTACTTCTTGGAATCTGGCGGCTCCACCTCTCCTGTGGTGCTGTGTACCGGTGGCACCAACAAACAGGACGTCATCAGTAGGAGCACGGTGACAAGTTTTGAAGACATCACGTCGGCCCTCTTGTCTAAACGGGAAGAAAGCAAGGATACCGTCTGAGGTATACCAAATCTTGAATTGCAATTGAAAACATCATGCACTAACTCTACAATATAGGAAATTGGTGATGGAATATAATTTACAGGAATACATTTTACGAACCAAAACCGTACAATGTAAAAAACAAAGCTCCGTATATTTTGATCAAGCAGGGTAACAGCAAACAATAAAGTCGAACTATGTTCAAAACATGTGTACAAGACTAACACGCGCAGCAGCTGCCAGCACAAAAGATCGCTCTGACCATACCATACTATTCAATAATAGAGAAACATCACCCCAGAAGAGGATCTTTAGAAAAAGGGATAAAAGGAACACAATGCTATCACCCCACAATTCCGTCTGGCTGGGATGTCCGTCGGTCATGGTACAATGTCATATTTGTATCCAAAGTCCGTTTAAATGCAGAAACAATGTGGTATGTTTGGCGCGAAAAAAATATGATTCCAATTAAAGTCAAAGTAAACTCGTTTTCGGACGATTACTCAAGACGTATGCTGTATTGAATTAAAATTTTGTCCAATGATTGGTAGTAATATTAACACTACCAACAATAATTTAGGATTGTTTCAATTGGATAAGTTTGTGCACAAGGGGTGAATTCATCGTGACTGTACTCCATTTTGTGAACAAAAGAGGGCGCCATTTTGTGAAGAACACTTCGATGGTTTGCGACTTTGCGTGCGCTCTTCTTGTTATAATAGTTGCAGACAAGTGGCGCGCCCAATTGTTTTTTCCTTTAGTCCCACCATTTGACCTTGGTGGTATGTATGTGGCCTATTTTCGAGTAGTATAATAGGGGTGTAAGTGGCGCTACCAACGTCAAAAAAGTCCGCCCCCCGAAAAAAAAAATTGTGAGCCCCCCCCCCCCCCAGCAAAATCTTGGGTGCGCCACTGGTTGCAGACCAGTAACTGCCATGGACCCCATAGTCCAGGAGCTAGGCGGAGTTGAACAATTGGAGCACAGAATGGGGGTGGGGGTGGTGCTGGAATGGTTATTCTTAAGTTGCTCTGGGTCGGATGTGGGTCAGGGGACCCTGTCAAAAACGTTTGAGTTTTATTGACATGTCGCGCACAAGTGCCGTTTTTTTGGATAAAAGTGTTGAGATTCACCCCATGATGGCAACAATGGTGCTAAGGATTGAAATAAAGTCGGATAAAGTTGATCTAAGAATGATTTAAAGATTATATTTATTCCATATACAATTATACATTGTTTACAATAAATGGCACACGTACATTCTGTGTAATATAGTGGAGCTATATATATATAGGCTTATTACATTTGTACAAATTGTGCACACATTGTGGTAAAAAGCATGAAACTTTATATGCAGAGCCGAGATAGTCTTAGAATCATTTTAGGAGGTGGGCCCACCTTGGATCCTGCCGATTTGGGATGCATGCAAAGAATAAAACTCAGAAGAACTGTATTTAACATTAATCATATTTTTTTCTTCTTTTTTCCATTTTTTGAAATGAACTTGGGCATGAGATAAAACATTCCAGCATTTTCGATTGTCATATTTTCCGCCCATTTTGTGGGCGTGGCCTACATTTATGAAGGGGTTGTTTATAATAGTGGTTTTATCCCATTTTGAAGTTGACATTGGATTAACATTTCGAGACGGATCCATTTTGAAAATTGCCCACTTGAGGGGCGGAGCTTTATTTTAAAAGGGGTGCACAAAATGCAGAAAAATTGTATTTGTTGCATTCATTGTTCTTTATGCTTTCAAATAAGCTTACACATGAAAATCTTCCAATGTTAAAACACTTGTTATTGTCACCCATTTGGTGGGCGTGACCTATACTAGCCGGTGTAATGAAGCAGCTTGATTCACAATAATGAGGCCCAAATCGTCATTTTGGGGGTCAAAACACAAATTCTGTATTCGTTAACTATATTTTTACCTTACACTGTAATATCATTTAATTTCTTCCGATAATTTTTTTTTTCTATTTTCAAAGTTGCATTAAATCGTCATTTGAGAAATTTCGCTCGGGAACAAATTCGGCCTAAGTAAATTACTTTAGTGTTTTCGCAAACTAACTATCACTTTATATGAAATATCAGCAATACAATAAAGGCGACCTATATTTAACATATAATTACAACGATTGTTTACAAGATTTACCAGCAATAATTTCCATTTACGCGTGCATAATAATTAGTCCTTTTTTAGATGGTTTTTCCCTGCCCTGCCCCACATGCATCTGCAGCAGTAGTAACACAATGAAAGGTTTACCCATACGATCAAAGCCAAGACGGCCAAAATGAAAAGGTAGACATCTATGAGATTCCTCTGGATGTAATTCAGGTCTTGGACGGCCGGTCGTAGATGATCACCGCCGAACTTGGTGACGTGGAGGATCCAGTGGGCTGCCGTCTTCACTGGGGGCGACATGGTCTGCAGGTCTCGCATTATCAGGGATAGACGCCGTGCGTTGGTACGGAATCTTTTCAGCAAAGAGAAGAGTGACACTGTTGGGTAATATTAAAACAATTCGAAGGAAATAGCCATGCAATTTTGGTTTTGGGCTAGGCTGGGGAAGATATATTTCCCACCTTTTTTATCAGGGAATGGGCCAGATGCCCCAGATTTCTTTCTGCTGAAGTAAACAAAAATCTCAATCATAACCTCGATCTCAATCATGATGTCCTCCACTCAAAATGACCACAAAAAGCAGCAAACGCATATTTCATAATTGGTGGCTCGAACTGACTTGGATTGGGACCGAGTTGACTCGAAACTAACTCAGTCGGGGTCAACTCGGTCCCACGTGAACTCGGTCCCAGGTGCCAAACAAAATAGGTGGAGAACATTTCTGCAATTTGATTCACAGAACGTGGTCCGTCTTTTTTTGTGTATGTATTTTCCCTGGTTAACCTTTTGATGTACTTATTTTGGTTTAATCATTGATTTCGAGGTTATACCGATTGTACCGCTCTTACTTGAAGCAGCGTGTTTCCCCGCCAGCGGCTGCCGCAGCAAGTCGCTCGTTCCCCGCTGTACTAGCGCCACATACACAGTCTCGCGCGCCGTATATGCTTAGTACCGTGCGATTATGACCATCGTGACAAGCGTTTTGCATACTTAAATTCTCCGTTATTTTTAAGAATCATCGACCTGAAATATAGTTTAGATTAATTAAGACTTGATATTATCATATTTGAGGGTCATTTTCGATAGCGTTAGTGGCGCAAATTAAAATAAATCAGACCCAAAATACACAATACTATATGTTTTCTATAGCGATCGCGGTGCGGCGACCCCCACTCAATCCCACAATGCACTGCGGTCATTGCGTGACGTAATTAGTACAGAGGTTTATTAGTTCTGTATGCTAAAATACGTTTGGTTTTTCGTTAGGTTATCAACGAGTGCGCATGAGCTTTGAAATTTTGTGAATCAGGTGTTTATTTAGTCTAGTAACAACGCCCCAGGAACGCAGCTCTGTGCGATACAGATTTAACGGTTCAAAGGGACACGGATCAGCGTCCCAGTTAACGCTCATTAGTAGATGGATCGTCCGGAGATGGAATATTAACTCATGCGCACAACATAGGCGTAGCCAGCGGGAGGGGGGGGGGTATTTACCCCCCCCCCAATATTTTGTAAAGACTGGCCTTAGTTTCCATTCAAATGCCCTTCTTTTCACCAGCGCTTACCCCCCGCCCGCCCGCCCCCCCCCCCACCCATATTTGTAAAGAGTGGCCTTCTTCTGTACGATGCCCTTTTTTTCTGAACAAGTGCCCTTTTTTGAAGGGCACAAAAAGAAGGGCGAACAAAAAATCGTGCCCTTTTTTCGCGCATGTACTGCCCTGAAAAAACACCCTATTTTGTCCGTAAGTGTGCATAATCGTCGATTTTGAACAGCGCCCCTATTGATAGATGGTACCTGGCCCCGCACCCCCCCCCCCACCCCCTCACACACTTTTTGATTTTACGGAGGCCAAGTCCGGAGAAAAAAAACGTGTCTTCATTTTGGCACGGATGTACAAGTGCCCTCAAAAAATTACCCCCAATCCAAACGACCTTGCTATGCCACCGCATAAGCACACATTAAAATGTTTACTATTGTCCTTGACTTTTGAGCGTCAATTTTGGAATCTCAAAAATAGGTCGAACATGAATGTCGTCTCCCATTCCCTTTCAAAACGTTGTTTGCTTTGTTCATTACTTTATCTGTATGGACGCAATTAATGACCATTAAAGTCTCTGAATCGTCCGAGCTTCACGTCATTATACCAAGCTTCCTTCACCACGCGACCACCGAATAGCGGCCTGTACATGAAGCAGCATTGCAAGGGCTTTATCTGCAATCAAGTGTAGTAAATTAACAATGCCAAACACCAGCGGTTTTTATCGAAATCTTACAGATCTCCCATGCACTTGTGAGTCACACAGACTCTGTGTGTGCCACATTATCCGCAACTCAATATCAAACCATGATTGATCATTTAAAACCCTGAATTATTCTACGTTTTTCCAACCTTTCTAATAAATGAAACCAATGGTTCCCCAAAAGTGCCCTGTAGGCACTGTAGCTCGCAAGCCTGACGAAACCTGTAGAGAGGAGACGATGAGGAGAAATTACAATTTTAGAGGTGGGAGGAAAACCCCGGAAGAATACTCTGGGGAAAACCCACGGAATCAGGTAGGGACTGGAAACCAAATCCACATTGTGGTCCGGGCAGGAATCGAGCCCGGGCCATAGCGGTGGAGGGCGAGGAAAGTAACCACTGCGATCGCGGTGCGCGGGTGCGGCGACCCCCACTCAATCCCACAATGCACTGCGGTCATTGCGTGACGTAATTAGTACAGAGGGTTATTGCTACAATACGTTATTTTGAAAAATACAAAGGTCCATAACAGTCTGATTTGTTGGGCGGCGAATTCGTTTGGTTATGCGCCTGAGCTTTGAAATCTTCGTGAATCAGGTGTTTATTTAGTCTAGTAACAACGCCCCAGGAACGCAGCTCTGTGCGATACAGATTTCACGGTTCAAAGGGACACGGATCAGCGTCCCAGTTAACGCTCATTAGTAGATGGATCGTCCGGAGATGGAATATTAACTCAGGCGCACAACATAGGCGTAGCCAGCGGGAGGGGTTTTCTGAACAAGTGCCCTTTTTTGAAGGGCACAAAAAGAAGGGCGAACAAAAAATCGTGCCCTTTTTTCGCGCATATACTGCCCTGAAAAAGCACCCTATCTTGTCTGTAAGTGTGCATAATCGTCGATTTTGAACAGCGCCCCTATTGATTGATGGTACCTGCCCCCCCCCCCCCTAAACTTTTTGATTTTACGGAGGCCAAGTCCGGAGAAAAAAAAACGTGTCTTCATTTTGGCACGGATGTGCAAGTGCCCTCAAAAAATTACCCCCAATCCAAACGACCTTGCTATGCCACCGCATAAGCACACATTAAAATGTTTACCATTGTCCTTGACTTTTGAGCGTCAATTTTGGAATCTCAAAAATAGGTCGAAATGAATGTCGTCTCCCATTCCCTTTCAAAACGTTGTTTGCTTTGTTCATTACTTTAAATTAATGACCTTAATGGCTGATAAAGATGAACTATAAAGATGAACCGCCATCAAAGTCACTCGTCCGATCTTCTAACTCATCATTATACCGAGTTAAATAGCGCCCTGCACATGAAGCAGCATTGCAAGGGCTTTATCTGCAATCAAGTGTAGTAAATTAACAATGGCAAACACCAGCGGTTATCGGAATCTTATAGATCTCCCATGCACTTGTGAGACACACAGACTCTGTGTGGGCCCCATTATCTGCAACTCAGTATCAAACCATGATTGATCATTTAAAACCCTGAATTATTCTACGTTTTTCCTTCCTTTCTAATAATGAAACCAAGGGTTCCCCAAAAGTGCCCTGTAGGCACTGTAGCTCGCAAGCCTGACGAAACCTGTAGAGAGGAGACGGTGAGGAGAAATTACAGTTTTCGAGGTGGGAGAAAAACCCCGGAAGAATACTCTGGGGAAAACCCACGGAATCAGGTAGGGACTGGAAACCAAATCCACATTGTGGTCCGGGCAGGAATCGAGCCCGGGCCATAGCGGTGGAGGGCGAGGAAAGTAACCACTGCGCCAACTTGACTCCCATAAGACAGGCGGTGGAGACTGAAGCTTGAGACGACATCGAGCTTTGGAAAGTAACCCATAGGCCTATAGTGGGGCAATAGGGAAAATATTTGGGGGAATCGTGCCTTTGATGATACAAGAATGGTATTTGGTAAACAGTCAGAGTATGTCTTAAGAAAGGTATTTGGTTATGGGGGCTATCGCAGATTTGTCCTTTGAAAAAATAAAGGTGGAATAACAACCAATTTTCAAAATTTTCAAAATGGCTGCATGCCATTGCTTGTTTTTCTACCTATAGCCAAATATCTTTCTCGTGACATACTCTGACTGTGTGCCAAATGCCATGCTCGTATAGTCAAAGGCACAATTCCATCATATATCTGCCCTACTAATATTACTCTTTTTTATGTAGCATGTTTATTGCTACTGACCATCAAGGCGTACTGGAAGATAATTACTGTATTTACGCAAGGCCACAACAAAAGGTCGTTGCGTCATGCATAAATTCATGGAATAATGTATTAGGGACCTAATGATGTATTTTCCTTTTACCCGTATGTTTCAGTATTTTTCTTTTACCCGTAATGTTTCATACAAAGGGCAGACGATTTTGTCGGCGATTTTTCGACAGACTTTGTTGCCCTTGAACTAAAAGAAGGAGGAGCCTTACTTTGGATCGGTGATGACATTGTGGATGGTCTGGTTCAAAACATCGGGTGTGATAGTGGTGATGTCAAGCCGCAGGCCGACCCCACGGTCTTCGAGCCGGTCCAGATTGTCCATCTGATCTCCGAAGAACGGTAGGCCCACCATGGGCAGTCCGGCCCACAACGCCTCGTACATGCTGAAGCCTCCACCGTGACTCACTAACACTTTAACGTTCGGATGTTCTGGACAAGGTGTGATGACAAAAAGTTGTAGTCTAGGTTATCGCAGTCAATGACATTTCAATAACAACAACTTCCCTCGCCAAAGGCACGCCTGTTGGCAAAGGCTGATTTAACAGTTGGTGAGGGCAGATACAAATAACTCCACTTGGAGCACGCTATATCACTGTACACTAACGGAGGACCTCATCAATGGCGACAACATCCTGCCAGTTTTTGTTCCGATAATTTGTCATTGGCCGCGGCTAGGTGCTTTGTACAGTGTGCATCGAAAAAATGCAAACAACATTATAACGGAATGCCAGACGTGGAATGGTTTGAAAGATACGCCTTTCCACTTCAAAATGAGACATCAGACGTCCAAATCGGATAATGTTTGACAGAGCTATGAGTAATTTTTCAAAAGAGTTCAAATTGACCATGGGACCAAGTTTTCAATTGTAGGCATTGGAGCAAAGGTTTTTTCATTGCCTCCGTACTTGCCTGGCCTACAACAAGTGTGTTTAGGAAGTAAGCACAATTCTAAACACTTTCTTGCTTTCACCTCATGCTAAAAATGTTAAGCATGTAAACATGTTTACAAACTGATAGCAAGAAAGTGTTTGGAATTGTGTGTACTCGCTTAACACATTTGTTGTCGGCCAGGCAATTTTCCCCACAGAGGCAATTAGGCTGCCTTCATCCTAATGCCTAAAAATTGGTCCCATTGGAAAATTACTCATAACTCTGTCAAACAATATCAGATTTGGACGTCTGATGTCTCATTTTAAAGTGGAAAGGGGTATCTTGCAAACAAAACATATGTTTTGGTTACACATTCCACGCCTGGCATTCCGTTATATTTTATTTGAATTTTGTTTTGATACACACTGTACAAAATAGCTTGAACTATGCTTTCACGATTGAAGGGGGCAGCCATGACGGCGTCCTTGGAATGGTCTATAGCGAGAGTTGCAAACCGAGGGTAACCTTTCCTACGTGGTCTCTGGACGCCATTTTGGGGCCAAGGATAGACTGTTCTTTTACATATTCACACACATGAGTTAGGGGTTGAGTAAAGGCTTGCCGGAGGCTCACCCTGCTATAGGGAGTCGGGTCCGGGGCGATGGCCCCGAAAATGATTGAAATCAACGTTTATTTTATTCTCGAATTGCCAGTGCAGGAGAAAGCAAGGAACTTCGGTATTCCAGTTATTATTTTGGCCTCAATTTATTAGTATCATAACATAAGTCAGCGGCTGAGCTGGGAGGGGGCTGGGGGGCGATCCGTCATTAATGTGAACCACCTACCCATGACCTGCGACATTGGCAGCCACCGGACGACTTTAGTGTTGACTGCCAGCCGGAGGCCGGCGGGTAAGGGAGCTGAGGTCTGCCACAGCACCCGGACTGGTAGCAAGGCCAAGCCGTCGGCAAGGACTTGGGCTTTTTCTCGTTCCATGCTTCCAACGTGTGTGCCTAGTGAGAACAAAGCCACGCCGCTGGGAGCTGTGTCCAGAAACTCAGCCACATCGGCTTCGATCTGATTAGGAGGAGGAGGAAAAAGGGAGAGAACTGTGCTTTCTTTTAATTGATTTTGTTCCTGATTGCGCCATGAACTACGAGTACAGAGGTTGTTCAAACAATAATGCGCCTGACTGAGGGCGGATCCGGAAGGGGGGGGGGTGTCAACGGGGGCCATGTCCCCCCAAAACGAACGCCTTTTTTTTTTAAGTGACGTCGCAATAGAGGCAGGCACTGCTTACGTACACCACAATCTTTTCCTTTAAAAAAAGGGACAAAGTGACAAGAAATTACCTCAGGTCGCACCACAGGGCATCTATTATTCAAACAACTTTCGGGGCCTTAAGCGGGCCGCGAACCCCACGCCGTAATTTCTTGACCCACTTTTTGGGGGACCAACTTTTTTTTTGGCCCCCCCCCCCAAAAAAATAATGTGTTCTGGATCCGCCCTTGCACGTGACACATTAGGAGGTCCATTTTGTTATAAGTCACTGACAATATAGAGATTATTTATTATGAAGACACTTTCCCACTCTTTTTGAATTTGTGGTTTTCATTTTGAATGTCCTAGTAATATAAAGGTATAGGAAGGAAGCTAACGTGAAAATGTTGTCCAAAGTACATGCAGAAAAAGTTAAACTATTATTTGAAAAAAAGTCGGTATATATACCGTTAGACTCCCTAAAACGACGTGGTCCTATTTCGACGCACTTCATTCAATGACAACGCACGCGCGTTGCAAGCGTTACCCGCGCCGATTATGGTGACTCCAGGATATAGTATAAAGACTATAAAACTAGTGGTGGTAGGCCTACGATAAGACACTCGCGTGTCAGTGTTGTCGCAGGCCTGCCGGCGATAGAGCAAAGGCCGTGAACTCGCATCAAGCTATCGTGCCTCCATTCATGCAATACGGCAACATAGCTTTGTCGTGACTTTAGAACATACACGATAGTGCTACTAGGCTATACATAAACATTTAAGCTCGAACTACGCATGATTTTCAACAAAGGTTATGCGTAGTATAAAATGTAAAGGAAACGATTATTCGTTGCAGTACTTTACCGTTTTATTTAGAGCCGAACCGGCTGTGAACAGAACGTAAATAGTATTTGGCTGCATGGGTCGCGGGAACTCCAAGGCGAAGCTCCCATCGAACATATAGAGAGACGCTTGCTTGTTGGATTCATAGGTGCTGAGCTCGGGTCGGATGTTGTACTTGACTTTCAACTGGTCGAAGCGTCTGAAGCCGACATTCAAGAACCGCCAGAATTTGTAGTAGGTGTGTGCCAGGACGTTTTGGACACGCTGGATGAATGTCATTCTGTCTGTGAGACCGAGCACACGCTCCGGGATGTAGGAGGGATCGATTGGTAACCCCGCCCTTAAGACAATTGTAAGATAGGGAAAACAAATCGGTTGGTGCTATATTGCTTAAGATGTATTAGTATCCGTATCTTATCCGGAGTTCTTATTCACACTGAAGAAAGTTGAGCAATTTTGTTAGTAAAAGTGTTAAGAATTTGCCCAACAGTGAAGGCTGTATAAAATTTTATTTTTACTCACGTTGGCTCAGAAGGTCAGCAACAGTTGCTATTGTTTTCTTCTTTTTTATGGGATGTACTTACCACATGCCGTGTTTGGAGGGAACTGCGTGAACAGCACAGTTGTAGATGAAGGGAATGTTTAGAGCCTGTGCCAGGAGCGGAATGCACGGGATGTAGCCATCAGCAACCAGCATGTCGAATTTCTCTTCCCGGAGCCTCTTCATGGTTGCCGCATCTCCCAACAGATCGTCGCACTCGCGTAGCCACATGTCTCCGGTGCTTAGCTCATCGGGGATGTCGCCCCTGACGCCTGCGATCAGCGGACCCCAGAAGGTCGTCAGGACGCCCGTGGCGAACAGCTTGCCGAGATGGGCCATGACGTCGGCCCGATGGTGCGGCGTGACGGACGAGGTGTATACCACCGTGGTGAAGATGTCGGCGTCGGCCGTGTGCATCTGGGGAGGGCTGGAGCTGCTGAACAGCGACACCACCCTGTGACCCTGTCTCACTAGCTCCTTACCAGACATGGACAGAGATGGATAATGACTGCCACCAATCATGGAAACGAAGTACAAAAATGTATACTTCTTGGAATCTGGCGGCTCCACCTCTCCTGTGGTGCTGTGTACCGGTGGCACCAACAAGCAGGACGTCATCAGTAGGAGCACGGTGACAAGTTTTGAAGACATCACGTCGGCCCTCTTTGCTAAACGGGAAGAAAGCAAGGATACCGTCTGAGGTACACCAAATCTTGAATTGCAATTCATCATGCACTAACTCTACAATATAGGAAATTGGTGATGGAATATAATTTACAGGAATACATTTTACGAACCAAAACCGTACAATGTAAAAACAAAGCTCCGTATATTTTGATCAAGCAGGAACAGCAAACAATAAAGTCGAACTATCAGTGTTGTAGTCGAGGCCACAACCTCCGAGGCCGAGGCCAAGGCCGAGGCCACAACCTCCGAGGCCAAGGCCGAGGCCGAGGCCACAACCGCGAGGCCAAGGCCAAGGCCGAGGCCACCACCTCCGAGGCCAAGGCCGAGGCCGAGGCCAGCTATCAAAACACGTAATAAAATATAAATCACTAAAACAAGGCTAAGATTATGTTGGAGTTTTAACATCTTTTTAGTTGAATTCACTGAGTTTTGGAGTGCCTGGCTTACAAATTTACAGCTTGCAATGGGTTTCCTCTTGTAGGGAGTCCGGCGAATTTTATTTTTTAAAGAAAGAAATCTCAAGTTTTGTATCTCTGAAAGCAAATAACACAACAAAATCAATGGCGTTTGAATCAGACTCATAGGTGTTTGCCCTTTGGAGATACAACAATTTAAATGGCCAAATTTTGAGTTTCTATTCTTTGAGATTTACATCATTTACTTTTAACATGTTTTATAAATCTTATTTTCAAAACCTATCAAAATGCTTAATATCATAGGAATCCCAATTAAATAAACAACAACTTGATTTTTGAATCAGGTTTTTACTACTCATAACCAAAAAGTTACGACCCCCCGAACTTCGCACTGTCCAGGCGCGCGCCGAGCAAACACCGCGATGCGACCAGACAATGCCAGACGGCCCGCCGTTACGCACGGGCAAAGCATAGTTCCAATCCCGCTCCACACAACGGGATAAGTGTCCACGCATTATCACTGTTAATACCGCGGCACCAGACAAAGTCTGGCAATGGCCAATCCCGCTCCAAACAACACGGCAACACGGAACATGCGTGCATGATATCACTCAGTTCATCAAAATGACCATGAATTCTCGGATCATCCGATTTGAATCCAATGGCTTCGAAGAATTTTAAAATCATGGCAAGAGGTAGGGAGTCCAGAGATTTTGGCCGTATAAACCACGCAGAATTAGTCAATTTCAAACCGTGCTTATATATGTAATAAGTATCAACATGGCTCTTAAAATACAAAAAAGTATCCTGGTACCACGAGGAATACTGACTCCTATTATTAAAACATTCATTCAGAACTTTGCATTCATTTGGATGGAAAAACGAATTCTGAAATCGCGCATTCCATATCGACCATTTGCGCCAAACATTACCGTGTGAGCCGGAACTTTCATTTAAATCACCGTGTAAAAATAAAATCTACTTAATAAATCGTAATTGTTTTTATCATATCTTTATGAAAAAAATGGTACGGACTAGTACACTCGATCGTACCCAGAAAGTTCAGACTTTTACTGAAACAGTGGCCTATAAAAGAAATGATTAAGCTTGCCGCCCCTTGCCGCAAATCATTTTTAAAGGTCGGGGTACAGAGGCGAAACGAGAAAATTTTGTACAACACTGCAACCAGACTAGTCTACTACCACATGTTATTGTACGCAAATGGGATTGGTGCCAGACTTATGTAGTGTGGCACGCGTTATAACGCTTGCACGCACGTGGAAAGCTGAAGCGCAGGCTAGGCGAAGATGCTACGTACGTGAGTACGCTCAATGCAACCATTTAAAATTAATTAGAATAGAAAACACATCAAAATGGGCGGCCTCGAGCCGGCCTCGACCGATTCGCCGAGGCCGGAAGGCTCCGAGGCCGAGGCCAAGGTCAAGGCCTTGTACCTCCGAGGCCAAGGCCGAGGCCGAGGCCATGAAAATCGGCCTCGAGGCCGGCCTCGAGGCCGAGGCCGGCCTCGAGACCTCCAACACTGCGAACTATGTTCAAAAGATGTGTACAAGTCTAACGCTCGCAGCAGCTGCCAGCACAAAAGTTCGCTCTGACCATACCATACTTGTGGGTTGATGATCCTTTCAGAACACTTCGCCCCATTATTTTAACAATAGAAAAACATCACCCCAGAATAGGATCTTTACAAAAAGGGATAAAAGGAACATAATGCTATCACCCCACAATTCCGTCTGGCTGGGATGTCCGTTGGTCATGGTACAATGTAATATTTGTGTTCAAAGTCTGTTTAATGTGGAAAAAAATGTGGTATATTTAGCGCGAAACATACGACTGATGCAAATTAGAGTCAACGTACACTCGTTTTCCGGACGATTACTCAAGACGTACCTGCTGTGTTGAATTAAAATTTCGTCCAATGATTGGTAGTAATATTATCATCTACCAACAATTTCAGGATTGTTTCAATTGGTGGATTCTGGGATTTTGAAATGGGGATGGGCGCGTGAGTTGTCATATCCGGAGTTTGTCCTGCCGCGTGAAGAGCGCCATCCATTGGCAGCATGAATATAAAATATTATAATAAGCAGATGACGCCTTCAATTCATTTCCGGGAATATTATCATAAGCGAAATATGCAAGGCCGCGCCGCATCGGTGATGATGCATTCGCACAGCGTGTGTGTACAGTGCGTACGTACCGTGTGTGGGAGGCTCGACTATAGAGAAGATGATGATGATGCATGACTAAGTAATGCATTGAACAGCCACCATCATGGCAGCTTCACTGTCTCAGCTCTCCGTTCTCAGCCAAATCAGCGAGGAATTTCTTCTCTGTCAGGTGTGTTTCGAGCGGTTCAACAAGCCCAAAATCCTACCATGTCTCCACAGTTTCTGCGAGGGGTGTTTGCAACGATACGCCCCGGCCGGCTGTCGCACGATACGCTGCCCGATGTGCAAGCAGGAGACGGAACTCCCAGAAAATGGCGGCGTGTGCGGTCTGAAGGATAATTTCTTCATCCTCAACCTGTCCGACGTGTTTACGGAGATCGCGCCGGCAAAGAAGGGTCAAAAGCAGCCGGCGCGCAAAGCCATCTGTACCATATGTGTCGGTGCGGCACCCGCTGAGGCTAGTTTTCGGTGTCTGGAGTGCGTGGATTTTTTATGCGATGTCTGCGCCCCTTCGCATGACCATCGCCTGGCCAGATTCAGCCGGCAGCATCACGTCATCTCGGTGCCGGCCTCGGAGAACAAAAAGCTCCTGAGGAGGGATATTTACTGCGACAAGCACAACTCGGAGACGGTCAGGTTCTTCTGCGAGTCCTGCAACCGACCAATCTGCCGGGACTGTGTCCTGGTCGAGCACAAGGATCATTCCCACACTTTCCTGAAGGACGAAGTCTCCAAGCACAGGAACACAATAGACACTCTGCTGCATGGTGTCAGGGACAAGATTGCCGCTTTCGAAGAAGCCATGAAGAGCGTCGATGAAGCAGAGGCCAATCTGGAAGCCAATCGGGGTCAGGCCGAGTACATCATCAATAAGACCATGCAGGACTACATTGCCCAACTGAAGGTACAGCAGCAACATCTCACACACAAGTTGAGCCGAGCCTGTGAGGGGCGCAAGAAGCAGCTGAATGCTCACAGAAAGAGTCTCCAGGCCGGGCTTGAAAACCTCCTGAGTGGCTTTGATTTCACGGAGAAAGCCCTGGGTCACGGGTCAGAGCTGGACATCTTGTCTATCAAGGACGAAGTCATCGACAGATTAGAAGGGCTGTCCAACATCTCGCCACAGCAAGACTTGACGCTAGACCAACTCTCCCACCTTTACTTTGTCGCTAGTGAGAACGCCACCGACTTGTCGTTGCCTCTTCTTGGGGAGATCCGCTGTGGAGATCGGACCTTCGTAGACATGTCCGAAATGGGTGATTCCAGGTCAATCTGTTCCATTGAGTCATCAGAGCTTGGAGACAGCTCCTTGTCTGAATCCATCCCTAAATCACCCAGGAGGATGATCGAGCCCAAGCCTCTTTCAGTCAGTAAACCACAGCTACTGTTTCATCTCAAAGATGAGATAGACGAAGCCGGGGAATTCGACTGGCCGAGCGGGGTGGCATCTAGTGCCGACGGAGAATATGTGGCCATCGTCGATCGTGACAACGACCGCATTCAGGTCTACAACCGGAAGGGCAAGTTTGAGTGTAAATTTGGCAATCGCGGCCGCCAGCCCTGTCAGTTTGAATTGCCTCTGGATGCAGCCATCACAACCGATGACGACCCCTGCATCTACGTCACAGACGAGTACAATCATCGCGTCCAGAAGCTGACGCTCTACGGCAAGTACGTCTCGCACTTTGGAGACAACGGGATCTTCAAGCAACCATATGGCATCGCCATCACCAGCGAGGGGCGCGTGGTTGTGACAGACATCGGCAAACACCGGGTGACGGTCCACGACCCCAACGGGAAGCTCCTGCATCACTTCGGGTCCAGAGGAGACGGCGACACGCAGTTCAACGAACCGCGTTATGTGGCCATTCACGACGACAAGATCGTGGTGTCCGACCACTGCAACCACTGCATCAAGATCTTCAACTCTCAGGGAACCCACCTCCGCACTTTCGGCTCCTGTGGCTCCGGGAACGGGCAGTTCATCGGGCCCACGGGGGTCTGCATCGACCGGGATGGCAACATCATCGTGGCCGACTGCGCCGACCGGGTCCAGCTCTTCAACTCGGAGGGAGTGTTCCTCCGGCATCTACTGAACGAGGGAGACGGTCTCAGTGGACCGCTGGGCATGGTCATCACAGCCACCGAGGAGTTGGTCATTACTAACTTGGGTACACACTGTGTCAATGTGTTCAAGTACAGTGGGTGGGTATGATGATCACTTGATTTGACCACTTATTGTAGTCCTTATCAGCTCAGTTCACGAAGGTCAAAATACGGCAATAAGGTCTTAATCAACAAAACCGGTTATTATCATACAGCAGCCAATAATAATATCACATTTTCAAAAGACCTTTCTGCAAGAAAATTTGGAAGTCAATTTGTATCAAATATCGGGTTTTTTTCTCACATAAAAAAGAAAACACAGGTAAAAGAAGAAAAGAAAACGGCCATCCATCAAAACTCATTTTATGACTGTATTGAACTCGATTGATATGTTAATGTTCTTGTGTGATAGATAAATGAAGCTATCCACTTTTTAGTTTGAAATCAAATATTGTAAGTCACCTTGAAATAACAATTCAGATGTTTCTTTTTTTAAACGGAGCGGCTCTATCTTTACCAACATGTAATCAAAAACCAAAAAAGGAAAAATGTGAATTTACTCTGGTCAAGTGGACATTAACTTGGTTAACTTGAAAGAAGCATTATGTTTTTATAAATATGGTTGACTGAACCCAATTGAAGGGAAGGTGGTCAGAAGACATAGATGTAAATATGAACGGCGTTTGGAGCCGTAATGTTAAAAAGTAAAATCATTGTCTTGCCATAAATGTACATAATATGCGAACGGCACTGATGTACTAAGCAAATCTTTACAACAGAATTACACAAGTGAATGAAACATGTTAAATTCTGCACACATGTTCTTGTAGTCTATACATTTTGATTCTATTGAAAAATCTATGGTAACTTCTATTGCAATGGTTGTGGAATGTGTGTATACGTAGAGCAATATAACGTGACTATATGTTCAAGTACAAATACAAATTGTGAAGCTATAATAGTTGTGAATATGTCATTACGCGCACAATATTTGGGGCAGCTGCAATTCAAAACGAGGTTACGTAAATTCGGTTCCAAGATCAGTTTTGTTTCGGATATTTATTGAAAAAAAGACACACTTGCATAGAAATCTGCCAGGTAGCGAATACCGAAATTGGTCGTCTTTAAGATCCACACGAAGACGACTTCTATTTACTATTTTGTTGTGATAGAAGAAAACAAAAACATACGAGTGAAGATGTATTAGCTTAATCAATTGAAAAGTTCCGTTTATATAAAGTCCCTATAGAAGTGGTAAAGAGTGCATATGTTGAAAGTATACATGTCCATGAACTTATATGAAATATAATCTTATTAGTCATTCTATGTCACTTATTGTAAGGTATTGTGGCCTATAAAGTGGGTGACTTACAAGCAGTATGGTCATTTCAAGTTTAAGATGATTCGTGTAGCTTTCAAAGTCTATATAGAAGTATTCAAAATATTAAGCACGACACAAAAAATCCAAAAATAAAACAGGTTATTTGAGTTTGAAAAAAAAAAACCCTATTTGTCATAGGAACTTCTTTGTGCTTGTGTATCTAGAATATAACAAATTAATATTACTTGCAACAATATTGGCCATGCAAACAGGGGTTGGGATATATGTATAATGTGCGTACTTTGGTGTGTGTTCAAGTGAAATATAGTGTAATAATGCTTCAACTTATTTATTTTTCATATCACAGACAATATTGATTGCATTCTATAAAATAAACGATTGGTTATAAATATTGTGGAATTATTATTGTATTTATCACAATGTAAAGAGGATTATATATTTAAAAAAAGCTTTTATGAAAGAGTGCTTTAATGCTTACATAGATGTTTTAAGCTTTGTGTTATTAGAGGTTTGAAAACAGGCCAGTTTGCTTGATTAATTTTACATTGTTCCGTTTTAGATGTTTCGTTTGGCCAAATATTTTTCGCCTTTATGAAGTACCGCTTTTGTGTATATTTTATTTTTTATTAATGAAAATTATGCAAGTATTAGGCGTCAGGGTATTGACTCAAATATGATTTACTGAAAGGTTTTTGTTTGCTATTGTGTTCAAGGTTAAAAACTGTAACATAAACAGAGAACTGAGTCCCGGGAGATATGCAATTTTTTTTTTATAATTTTGCTTGCTGAGAATACTGATAAGAAATGTCGACTTGTTTTTGTATTCACATCCAGAAGGAATATTGAAAAAAGCCATTGGAATTTTGGCAGATAAGGCTGGCCATATGAGTTTAACTGTAAGCAGGAACTGTCTTGAGGGCGATTATTAACCAAACTTAGGTTTCGTACCCGGTTTTGGCTTTATTCATGGGCGGATCCAGCACACAATTTTTTTTGGGGGGACCCAAAAAAATTTTGGTCCCCCCAAAAAGTGGGTCAAAACAATTACGGCGTGGGGTTCGGGGCCCGCTGAAGGGCCCCGAAAATTTTTTGGATTCTAGATGCTGGCTGTGGTGCGATCTGAGGCAATTTCTGACCACTTTAACCAATGTTTTTTTTTTAGGAAAAGATGGTGGTGTACTCATTGCCTGCCTTTATTGCGATGTCACATAAAAAAAAAAAAAATGGTTTCGTTTTTTTTTGGGGGGGGGGGCATGGCCCCCTTTGGACCCCCCCCCCTGGATCCGCCCTTGGCTTTATTTTCCGATTGCATGGTTCTATACATCACGGGATCACGGGAAAGTTATAGGCTCAATTTACTATTTGAGGAAAATCATACAGTACGATGCAATAGATCAGTTATTTCCCTTTTAGTTGAACACACAAAGGCCTCTAAAACTAAAACTAAAAATATTTCTATAGAGCCAGAAAAGCCGTACCGGAGACGAAACCAATATTTGGTAAATGTCCTTTGTTTTTTTTTAGAGGATGTGAATGAAAGTGTGACATTGACAGATAGAGCACCCGGCGTTACATTAAGAACTTGGAGTCATGTAATTAAGGGTCTGTCGCAGTGCTCAGGCCTTCGATCCACACTACTACAGTGTGAGTCATTCAGGCAGGCACGGTGCATAATGAGAAAACGGCTGCAAAAGCGCGCCATATTGCTGGAAATTTCAAGGCTTCAAACTAATGTGCACATATATCGGATAATTTTTAAGTTTAAATCCTATAGTGAATGTGTGTTTTTTTCTGAAAAAAATATAATTTCATCAATGAGTTCACGAAGTTCCGTGATCAGTGAGCCGCTGTTAGGAGATTCCTACTCTTTTTCAAAATCGGTGGATTTAGTCTTTCACTTTGCTAAAATATTTTTTTGACATTCGCAATGCATTCTAACTGCGGGTGGCGAACATTGGATGACAAAACATTCACAAATTTAACGCGCCGTGCACCAGTCAAAATTATCCTCCCCTGGTGACATTATTTTCAGAGTTGAAGATCATCATTGCACATTTTCATTAATGTTAAGATATAGGTTTTTCAAGCTATAATAAAAACAAATGGAGAAATTATTTGTGTACCAATCACAGCTTGCCTTACACGGGCTTTAGAGTCGCAGGTTCAGAAGAACAAATCTGATTGGTTGTGGACGTTTGAGATCCTGATTCTGATTGGTCAATGGAGATGGCGCAGTATCGCTGTTCCCGTTCCAGTGTGATGTAGTTCCGGCTGTAACCGGAACCCTGAAAGGGATTTCTCTATAATGTTTCATCATTTTGATAAGCTTTCTAACCTTAGGGAGGTATAGATCATTAAACATGTGTATTTCAAAATGTACAATAATGATGTTAAATAAGCGGGGAATTGAATGTTTTGACAGATTACAACATAGACACGAAGGTTTGTGCATTACTATTGTCTGTGTTGTTTGTTCACCATGCCCAGAATGCAAGGCGAATATCGATTAATGTTCTACATTTGTGTATGCATTGTATATGCTTTCATGTGGTCACAGTGCCAATGACCTAAACCGTCCGATCATTCGGACATGGCAAAATAATTAGTCCTTATCGTAGGGCCCGAAACGCCTAATAAAAATAGATTTGCCAACACCGATGTGAAAAATGTTCAATAATGTACTTCTATAGTGTGTGCTTTTTGTCGAAGGCTACCCATGCATAGGAATGATAACGAATCTTAATTTGTGACATTCAGGCAGGCACGAAGCTGTCCTTCGCAAATGTGATTAAGATGACGCGATATTCAATCAACTCGGCTTCAATATTGATGCGTGACAAGTCTGCATGCTTGCTAAACAGTGGCCCCTTAAGAAGGGGGTTATACAACTTTAGACTGCCGTCGATTGAGACGTTGAGCCCGAAAACAGTCTTTTTGATAAGTCGAAGAGTCTAGCTCGAGGCTTCATGATGTTCCAAATAAATGCTAAGGGCACGTTTAAGGTTCGAGTGTTATGTGTAAAGCTTTTTGGGGAGGGGAGGGTGCCAATATTTCGTGTGATAAACACAACAAGAATGTCATACTACACTCTTCAGGCAAAATTCAAGAAGAACACTTATGCGTTTGAAGATAAAGTTTCAGGGGTTTTGGCGAATGTGTGTCTATGCATATTATTATTGTGATAATTGTTTTGTTAGTACGTGTACACGGTACCGGGTAGGCCATGAAACTGAGCTTCACTTTTCAACTTATTTTTTTCATTCGTTTCATTATTTTTTTTTTTAAACTAAATTAAATTTATTTAGGGATGGAATGTAATTTATGCCCGAATACCGACCATTGGTCTAAATTTCAAATTTCAAATTTCAGCTTGGAGCCGTAAAATAAAATGTCTGTAAAAAGTTAAACTATATAATAGCTTATTCGCTATAGGTTACAATTGCGTAGGCTATTATCGGAATCAAATTTACACATTAATGGATTGCGGATGTGTAAGTGGAAATGAAAATTGTCTGACAGAAAAATTTAAACCAGTATTTAGCCGATCGAAGTTAGCGGAAACAACGCTGTTTTCAAAGGAAACACGTAGGGCAATTGTGCCGAATGTCTAACTGACGCCCCCGCCATGAAGCCACATTTTGCGAGAAGACAGCGGGCAAGGAGAGGCCACGATTACGTTGTGATTTGTACCACTGGTGATGATGTGTGATTTACAAAGTGGTTGGGATTTTCGAAAGCTGGGCTTCTTCTCCGGCTTCGACGCCAGGGAATTAGTCCCCCGACTTTGTGGACAACGGCTCAATGTTTTTTTCTGAAGCCGCATCCAGAACCGATGCCATCATTTCGCAAACCTCCATAATGGGGCGACTGATGCGCCCGCGGAAGACTACGCACTAAACGTGTCGTCATGGCAACCGGTTACGGAATCCTCCGCGGCCGGTTGCGTCAACCGGCCCATCGTGTCTCCGATACGAATGCGTGATGAGGACTTGTGTGTGTACAACTATAGCAGAAGTGCAATTACTCGTGTTATGGTGATGAAACGATATGTTGATGAAAATAGGTCCCTGCAGCATTTTCAATTAGGATTGAGGGTTTTCTTGTATGATACGGTAAAAACATATGGGTTGTCAGTGGGGTCAAAAATGCCTTTGTCGTGGTATTTTCTTGAGATTTAATTGCCAATGATTGTGATGTTTTGATGTTGCGACAGGCTGACAGGTCAGAGAGGGGTTGTTTTCAATTTGCTGAGCTGCGTCTTTCAGAAAGAGGTCAATGGGCACTTCTGGGAAATTCTGATTTAATTTGGCGCAGTCGCAAGTGTTCCGATTTGCGGACAGTTCAGATTTTGGCTTCAGAGTTGTTTACATGATGTAGGTTTACGATATACCCCGCGGTATTTTAGGGGCTGTGAGTGTACTGGGATATGCTATCTCTTTGAAACATGACGGGTTACTATGTTTGCGTCTTCATAATAGTCTAACAAAGAATCTGGTTCGCGTATTGTTGTCCCAATGCAGCTAATAAACATCAAAGATGATGTGTGATCTCGTAGTATTCTGTGAGATCTCACGGGATGCTCAAATATCTCGTGATACAAACAATAATATACTACAGACGAACAGTTAAATTTAGGAAGAACAGTTAAAGTTATAGGAAGTTAGTATCTATCACGTTGTGACAGCGTATATTTAATGCATATTTTGCAGAGAACATTTGCCCTAGTTTATGAGAATATTTAATGTTATTATCCCAAATGTGGATATTTGTTGTGTCCATATATAAAGCATGACTCTGTCTATAATATCCGTAGTTCAATAGTTGGAAATTTGAAATCAAACTGATTTTGTTTCAGTTTGAATGTAACGTGTAAGGATATGCCGTTTCTTTCATGCATGAAGTACGTTCATGTATAATAGTGGCTGATCTACAATTACCAGCCTGTAGGTTTATATCTCGCATTCTAAACATTGCCTTTTAATATACATGTAGTACAGCAGATCATGTGATGGGATTGTGCCTTTGATGGTACAATCATGGCATTGGGCGCACAGTGAGGGTATGTCATGATAAAGATATTTGGCTATAGGACCATCGCAGATATTGAAAAAAATATAGGTAGAATAACAAACAATGGCAGCCATTTTGAGCATTTTGAAAATTGTTTGTTAATCTACCTTTATTTTTTTCTTCAAAGGACAACTAGGGCCTATGCAATGGCCCTATAGCCAAATATCTTTCTTAATTAAGACATACTCTGACTGTGTGCCAAATGCCATGCTTGTATGATCAAAGGCACGATTCCTCCAAATACTTCCCCAGGTATCAAGGTGCTGTTTTTTAATAGGTAACTGGATCGCCATCAAAATGTGATTCAATCTTTTTTTAGAATCAGAAATCTTCGTTTCCAAATAATAAGAGGTGCAATCGGGTTCAACACCAGTCAACCACATGTCAACTCACGGTCAGGCCACTTGTAACCTAGGGGATGGACAAAAACAATGAACAAAAAAAGTGCCCATTATTACAGTTAATCTGAAAGATAATGAGCTTGTCTGTTAATTTGAGGTTGAATAAACTGCGATCGGAACGTCATTCATGCTGTAGCGATTTCTATCGCCTTCTTCGAGATCCGTTAAGTGTCAGCATACAGAGCTAGAGCGGTATTTTACCCCGACTCACTAAAGGCTCATATGCCTTGATTGACATGCTAATTGGGAAAATTTACTTTCCCAGTATG